TCAGATTTATAGCCGGAGGTAAAGTTTCATCATCAAAATTCTGTTTAGCTCATGTATTCCTATTCACTACTTCAATCTAATATTTTCAGATGATTTATTTGCTTAGTATCTAGAGCTTTTATGTTTATCTAACTAAGATATGAAATTTTCATCTAAAAGAAAATCTGGAATGGTTTATAGTTTATACATATTGTTGTTCAATGCACTCCCTGGCAGACTGAAATGAAATTTTAAAAACACTTTGATTGCCCACAAAGCCAACACCAACAAGTCATTTAGATGAAAATTCATATCTTGGTTGCCGAGTATTACTTTTTTTCGGTTAAGTTTTCCTCTTTCTGTATGAGTTGTGTTTCATTTTATTCTCCCGGGATTAGTGATAGGACTGATGATCTATTTCTTTGTTTATTTCTTTCTCAGATATCTCCTGAGAAGGAGCGCCCTGGAACTCTTTATGGTTGACCGTTCAAACTTCTTCTTTGATTTTGGGGTATTTGCATCTAAAACTCTTTCTACTGTATGATATATTTATCTCTCTGACCTTGTAAATCTCCGCATGCTGTAACCAATTACTTTTCCCAATTTGCTTGTTTTAACATCATAGAATACCGAGGGAAGAAGAAATGCATATCGAGCTATCGTGCAAGCAAGGCCTCCTCACTTAAACAATATTTACCTAGCAACTCAGGTTTCTGTTTTATCCTTACTATCTTCTTTTCTTTAACTTTTGAATTACTCTTGGTTCATATTTTTCTTCAGTGGGGGATTGATAAAGCATATGACTAGGCTGAGCCACTTTTCGTTCTGTGCTGCAAACTTACAAATATTGTTACCTTTTTAGAGGCCGGAACAGCTTTTGAGAAGAACTCAGTTAATGGAGCGCTGGGCTAGATGGGAGGTACCAATACACTGCACACTCACACTTGTCTTGCAATTTGTTTATCCTTATCCAAGAATAACATCTAATACAGAAAGATCCCCATCTGGATAATATCTGCAGATCAGCAATTTTGAATACTTAATGCAGCTTAACACGTTGGCTGGCCGTAGTTACAATGACATTACTCAGGTAGATCTTGTGTTCTTTTGCGTTTTCCTGGTGAACTTGTCAATGCCCTTTCTTCCTTGATGGATAGATATCTTATTCTTTGCAGTATCCTGTTTTCCCATGGATTATTTCTGACAACAGTTCAGAAAGTCTGGACCTTTCAAATCCATCTACCTTCAGAGATCTTTCCAAGGTGGAATCCTTTGCAGTTTTTTTCCAACTTTACGTTCTTAGTCTGCATATGATGGATCATAAACCTAGAGAATCTTGTTTTGATGTGGGTTTCTATATGTTCAGCCAATTGGTGCATTGAACCCAGAGCGGCTCAAAAAATTCCAAGAGCGATATTCTAGCTTCGAAGATCCTGTTATTCCCAAATTCCACTATGGCTCACATTACTCGAGTGCTGGAGCAGTAAGTTCTCTTCTCTATAATATCCTGCCACAATTACTGCCATTCCCAGTTTAAAGTTTGTGTTCCCTGAATCGTGTACAGAAAACAACGTATACTGTTTTTGATGCAGCTAGATGGAGTTTGCATTCTTTTCGATATTTATCATTTATTTCATGTGCGCAGGTGTTGTATTACCTGGCCAGAGTTGAACCTTTCACAACCCTGTCAATTCAACTTCAAGGTGGAAAGTTTGATCATGCAGACCGCATGTTTTCAGACATTCCAGGCACTTGGAATGGAGTTCTAGAAGACATGAGTGATGTGAAAGAATTGGTACGTATTGGTCTCCATAAAGCATCAAATGGATTATTTTATTCGCCTCTTCCTAAAGAAGTCAAGAGCCTACCCTTATTTAGCCACTAAATTTACAGGTTCCAGAGTTGTTTTACCTCCCTGAGGTGCTGACCAACGAAAATTCGATTGACTTTGGTACAACACAGTTGGGAGACAAGCTTGGTATTGTGATTCTTTTCCTTGTCATAGCCAAAACTTATGCGTCGCATGGTGAAATTTTTGTTAGCTGATGCGATTTTTTATCCTATTAGATGCTGTAAAACTTCCTCCTTGGGCCAAAAACCCAGTGGATTTTGTACACAAGCAACGAAGGGCTCTTGAGAGCGAGCATGTATCTGCTCATTTGCATGAATGGATTGATCTCATATTTGGGTAGGTTTTCTCCCTTGAACTGATAGTATTCTGTCAGTACATTTTCTAACTTAGTTTCCTCCTTTTACTTAGTGTGTTCAGCAAAATAATCACAAGTGTCTATGTAAGCCGCTAAATTGTTTTTTCATTCAGGTATAAGCAACGTGGCAAAGAAGCTATAATGGCAAATAACGTTTTCTTCTACATTACCTACGAGGGGACTGTTGATATTGATAAGATCACGGACCCGGTAAGGCAATTTTTCTGTACTGCTGGAGTTGCTCAGTTTTAGTATGAACATGTTGACATGACTTGCCCGTGAATGTTTGATGAAGGTACAACAACGTGCTACACAAGACCAGATAGCTTATTTTGGGCAAACACCATCCCAGCTATTAACTGTTCCTCACATAAAGAGGATGCCGTTGAAAGATGTCCTACATATGCAGGTAACAGCTACTGATAATTTTGTTTTGCAATTTCACTCTTCGTTAACACCTCTTTTAAACTTATATTTCTCTGAGGGTGAACTATTGAAGGTCGATAGGTTCCTTAACAACTTTTTATCAAAATCATTAATAGGGTTTTATTATAGGAGTCTACATCATAAGGTTTAACAGAGTTTTCTTTGTCTACTGCATGCTATGTGAGTGTAGGAGATTTTACTATTCAGCGTTCTTCGGGAAAACTAAGACCAAGAAATATCTTACGTACTTTATTTTCTTCAGATTATATTTGCCACTTGAACATGACAGTTGCTTATAATTTTTTTTTCAGACTATTTTTCGAAATCCAAAAGAAATAAAACCGTATGCTGTTCAAACCCCAGAACGCTGCAACTTACCAGCCTCAGCCATTCAGGCATCTTCAGATAGTGTTGTGATTGTGGACATGAATGTTCCAGCAGCTCGTGTTGCACAGCACAAGTGGCAACCAAACACTCCTGATGGCCAAGGTACTCCTTTCCTCTTCCATCACGGGAAGGCAACAACAACTTCAACTAGTGGATCATTGATGCGCATGTTCAAGGGTCCAGCTAGTTCTGGAACTGGTGACTGGCAATTTCCTCAGGCACAAGCATTTGCCTCATCAGGAATCAGAAGTTCATCCGTTGTTGCTATTACCAGCGATGGGGAAATAATCACAGGTAAGAAAGCAAGCAATTATACGATCCCAAGTTTTTTGGTAATATATATTTATGGAACTCATGTGTTTAATTATAGGTGGACATGCGGATAATAGTATCAAGCTAGTCTCATCTGATGGGGCAAAAACTCTGGAAACAGCTTTTGGGCACTGTGCCCCTGTTACATGTCTGGCTCTTTCTCCAGACAACAACTTCCTTGTGACGGGTTCACGGGACAGTACTGTTTTGCTGTGGAGAATTCACAAGGCGTTTACTACTCGAACAAGCGTGTCTGAGCCATCAACTGGCTCTGGAGCGCCTTCCTCCACAAGCAACACGAATCTGGCCAACACGTTGGCAAACAAAGGCAAAAAATGTCGCCTTGAAGGGCCTATACAAGTGCTCCGAGGCCACCGAAGAGAAATAATTTGTTGTTGTGTCAGCTCAGACCAAGGAGTCGTTGTTTCGTCTTCTGAGTCCTCAGATGTTCTATTGCATTCCATTAGAAAAGGACGGCTGATCAGACGATTAGTTGGCGTGAAGGCAGATTCTCTCTGCATTTCATCTGATGGGGTTATAATGGCATGGAGTAGTTCGGAAGGTTCTATTACCGTGTTCACCATTAACGGAGTTCTGATTGCCAAAGCAAAACTTCCTTTCTTTTGTAGCATTGGTTGCATGGAAATCTCCATGGATGGTCAAAATGCCTTGATTGGGATGAACTCATGTGCCAGCTCGGATTATTCGAGTAGTAATGATACATCAAAAGATGGCAAAGACATTGAAAGACTGGAAGTTCCATCTCCTTCAATTTGCTTCCTCAACTTATACACACTACAGGTATTATCATAACTCCATGAAGAGATCAACTAATTCATTTACTGGTCGAAACAACCTGAGATCCTTGTCTTGTAGGTATTCCATGTGCTAAAGCTTGGTCAAGGCCAGGATATAACCGCACTGGCTCTGAATGTTGACAACACGAACCTCTTAGTTTCCACGGAAGATAAACAATTGATAATCTTCACTGATCCGGCTGTAAGTTTATTATCTATTACAAAATTGGGTATTTAGATTTAGATTCATCACTTGCTATGATTTACTAGCAAGTCTCCATAAAAATCAGTATTCCTTATCAAGACGCAAAATTTCTATCATTGTACATTGTTAATGACAAAAGAATTTGGTAAATCCCTGCAGTTAAGCTTAAAGGTGGTGGATCAGATGCTGAAGCTCGGGTGGGAATGAGAGAAAAGAATCAAACCTCATTGATACAAAATCGCGGGAAACTCACGGCAAGAAAAATCTGTCAGAAAATCTCATGTCGGAAGTCCGAGGTGTAGCAAGCCGTGGAAATCTTAAAATCAGATTGGGGACATGTTTATTCGTCTGTAACATATGTAAGTATGGTTAGTCGTCCCAGTAAAGTGATCCCGTTTCATCTCTACCTGGTGTCATTTTTGTTTGTTCTGATTTCGTCGGTCCATAGTTTTTGTGAAGATGGTTTATAGATATCAAAGGCTTGTTGAGATTGTTGAGGTATACACACCGAAGCTTCCTTTTTCTCTCACCCATTGAGTTTGTTTGTTGGTTATATGTCTGTGATAAATGGTGTCTTACTGATGATTTTAATATAAATTCATTTATTCAGAGCAATTTATTTCATGAATGAACCTCTCATGTTTCGCAGTTACTTCAAACTTCTTTTAACTATTCAATTTAGAAAAAAACAAAAAACTCGTAGTAATCTCTGTTATTTCTTTTTTCTTTCCCAACAAATCCAGCATTGTAGTTGTACACGTCTCACACAACTTTTACATACACACGAGTTTTAACTTGACATAGTTTCCCCCTTACAAGGCAGGTGGGTACGCAATATTATTGAAGTTGTTTGCTTCCGCCCTCTGCACCGCCCTGTGAACCGCTCTTCTCAAGCTCCACTCGTAACAGAACTCCAAAGTCAGCCTTAGAGCAGTTCCTAGCCCAAGCACCACTATGACTCCAATGATGATGTTCACGGGAAGCGCAGAGACCCCGAGTGTGATAGATATCAACACATCAAGCATTAAACCACCAATCAGAATCGAGAATGCAACCCAAAGCGGACTAAAACATCCTCTCTCACGCTCCTCTTGTCTATAACTAGGATCAATCCTCCAAACCCAATAATTTGTAGTTGGTTGAGTCTCAGGAGGTGTGATATTAACAGCAACAACTTGACAGATCTCACACTGATTAGAGCCTTTAGTCCGAAACCAAGCATCTATACAAGACCTATGAGCTTTAGCAAGACCACCACGACATTGACAACCTAGTTCAATCAAAACCTCTTCTTTCTCTTGTAGACAAACCCTGCACTGCTCGTGAGAGCTTCCGTTTCTGGATAAGCTAACCTCCTTTTTCGGTGGGATCTGAGCCACCAATTCTTCCCGACTAGAATCTCCATTGCAGACAACGATTGTGAGGTGGTTGGATTCATTGGCTGACTCGCTCTGCTTCTGGTGAGCCTTGTCCTTCTGCTGCTGCTGCTGCTTTTCAAGGTCGTCACCACCACCGGAGCTGGAGCTACTTTGCATCTCAAATCTGTATTCCCCTTATCAATTCCACAAACCCTAGGAAGCCATACGATTCACTATGGGACCAGACGAAAAACAGAGATTCAACTTTTTTTGACTTTGAAATAAAAAAATTGTAAATCTCTCTCTTATTTACACAAGTTCTCTGATTTCTGTTTTGTTTCGACACAAGTTAGTTAGTTTTTAATGCTATTGGGCCAAGAATAATGGGCCTGGGCTGAGTTTCCTGGGAGCTTTAAGAAAACAAGTTTGGGTATTGCTGCCCTCTAGAATAGAGAGAGAGATGGGAGGGAAAGGAAAAAAGAGGAGAGAGAAAAATTACCTAGCTGCTCACGGCGGACCGGCGAGACTTCCGCCGCCGCCTGATCGTTCGAAGCAAGATGATGTTCCTTCTAAGCTCCGTATTCTCATGAACTACACTTCTCCGTCTCCTCACGGTATATTATAACGATTAGAGTCGATTTTGTGTGTTGTTGTTGTTGTTGTGATTTCTCCTCTGTGACTGTTTGTTTTGTTATGTTCTTCCTTCAGATTCTACTAAACAAGTCGTAGAGAAGAAGGAGAAGATTAAGAAATCCCAAGTAGATGTTACTGCAACGGTATAGTTTTCTAACTTTTGGTTTTGTAATTTTGAATGGTGTTTTCTCATTATTCTCAGTATTCTGATATGAATTGATTCATGTTGAGGGAATGAGAATGTGATGGATAATTGTATAATCAAAAAGCTGAGGGATACACAACCTTGTCTGATCAGGAGAGTGAGGGAGATGATAGTGTTTTGGAGAGGAAGAAGAAAAAGAGAAAGAGAAATCAAATGACGGATCTTCGTTTCGAAAATGAACTTGCGGAGTTGGATGGTCGGTCTAAAAGGAAAGAGCGCAAGAAGAAGTAAGCATTATTCATTTCTCTTAATGGCCAAATCTTTCTTGGCTATGTGTTTAAGTTTAATGACTAGATGGAAATGTCCTACTTGAATGCAGGTATTGGGAGGCCAAGAAGCAAAAGAAGAATCAAGGAAAGACTGAAGATACCCTCCGTGAAAACTTCCCCAAGCATGAACAGATAAGATTTGGTGATGTTGTGCAAGCTCCACCTAAGTTGGCTGTGGTTCCAAAGGTATGTAGTCTCGCTATTGTTTCTAACTGTAAGAAAAACTCGGTTGTGCTATTGTTTCAAATTATTATATATGTATGTTCATTTGGCAGGCAAGAAAGTCTACTCTAAGTGCTTCCCAGGAGAGGCTGCGATTAGAGGCCATCGATGCTTACAGATCTCGCAAGGGATGGATCGCAAGACCAGGTGTTCCCATTCCTGCCGTTGTCATGCAATAAGATGGGCCATGAATGAAGTCTTTTTTGTAGTGCGACTTATCTGCTGTTTTTTTTGTACGAGGTGGCTGTAAAATAATACAATATTGTGTCTTGTTCATCAGATTCTAATATGATAGTTGAGTCATCCAAAGATCTATAAAAGCAGATTATTTAGTACAAGGAAATTCATTGGTGTCTTGTTCCACCTTTATTGAGAATATTTGACCAAAACTCATGGTGGCACTATAAAAGTATGGAAAGTGTTCTGGTTGAGTCAAGTGCTTGTCCTCGGGATTGCACAGAGATGGAGTCCTCCATCGACATGAAGTGTAAGCATCCTCTTGTAACACACCTTGCTGTTCTCATCAGCCATTTTGAAGCGAAAGAAGTGAAGAAGTGCCATTGATACTATCTTCATTTGCCGATATGCAAAATCCTTGCCTGGGCAGATTCTTGGACCAGCCTGCATACGCAGTCAAAGAAAGAAAACAACTTATGTATTAGATACGGATGCCTTACTCTTAACTACCTAGATTGTCAGCAAGAGAGTGTACAAACATGAAAACTTATGAATTTGAATGGTAATTCGGTTTGGAATACGCCGTCCTTGAGCCATCTCTCTGGCTTGAATTCCTCAGCATCTTGACCCCAAATGTAAGTCATCCTACCCATTGCATAGGCTATGTAGTAGACATTATCCCCTTTGCTCACTCTATGTCCATCTGGAAGAACGTCATCATTTCCTGCACACCTCATGTCCTTTGGAAGGACCAAGAAAGATAAAAAAAAAATCCACATTATTAGCTCCTAAAATGTTCAGGCCACAGAAGAATCCTTTAAGCGCTGGTTATTTTACCTCAGGCACAGGAGGGTAAAGCCTCAGAGTCTCAGACAAGGCCGCATGGAGATACTGCATCTGAGCAAGAGTCTCTTCGGTTACACTTCCAATGAAACCATTTACATCAGTTGTTATCTCTGATTTCTTGTACGATTTTCTCCTGAACAAGTGGGTTTTTGCAGAGCATGTACAAGAACCAAGAGAGAGATGCAGCGGTTGTGTCCTTACCAGCAACCATGAAATTCAAAATGATATCCCTCAGGTACTTATCATTCATGTTCTCCGGATCTTTCTCACTCTCGAGAAGAAATTTCGATAGCATGTCCTCTCTAACAGACTAAGGACAAGCAAAACATTTTTCAAAAGGTATAACCAACAGTAAATGCAATCGTTAACAGGATAAACTTTAGAGAACTCACAGTGTCATGTTCCTTGGAAAGCTCTTTCCTTTTAGTGGTAATGAGACTATAGACAAACTTGTCTATAGTAGCAATGCTCTTCTTGAGTCTAGACTCTGATCCAATGTTAAGAAAACATTTCAGCTTCCAAAGCGGGTCGGTGAACCTGGAACTAGTTGCAACGTTGCCTTCATCAAAAGCCTTCATGAACTCTTCCCCTTCTTCGCTAAACCCATCTAGACATCTTAACTCCACACCGAACCCAACATTAAAGATCGAGTCTATTGTACATCTCATCAACATATCCTAGCTCAAAAACAAAACAAGAAAGTATCCTTTTGAGTTACCAAACTTGGAAACAATGAGTCTGGTTTGTTTTGAAACGTACCTGAGCATCAAAAGGTTTTCCAGAGAGAGCAAACTCCGAAACAAAACTAACAAGCTTTGAAGCACTTGTCCGAAAAACAGAGTAGCTAAAATTTCTTAAAACTCTAGTAGAGAACTCAAAGCTCACGAGCTTCCTCTGTTGTTTCCATTTCTCTCCATCAACAGCAAAGATTCCATGTCCCAAAAGATCCGCAAGATTCTCTCTACCAACGGGTCCTTTACTATAGTTATCGAATCTTGTCTTGAGAATATGCTCCACGTTCCGAGGATCTGCAGTAAATATCTCGCTCTGTCCTGGACTCAAGAACCTGTAAGTAGGCTTTATCCTCGCGATCTCTGTCTCGTAATCGTATAATTTGTCGCTATGGAAGAAAAGATCAAAGATTGTGGCGTGTACTGGAGTATACCTCTTGTCGTTTCTGGATTTCCCGGTGAAGATTCTGATCGTGAGATAGAGTGCGAAAGACAGAACGATGAAGATCGTTGTTACTACTATAATCGCCATGCTCGTCAAAATCTCCATTGATTCACTTTTTTGGCTTCGAAGTTTTTTTTTTTCTTCTTGTCTGATTTTTTCAATCTTCCCGCTGCGAAGTCATTTGTCGACGATTCAACAATCACAAAAGTCAAGACGGATTTTTCAAGCCTCAAGGAAAAATTCTGAACCCTCTCTTTTACTCAGAGGGTCCGTGTGTATAACATCGTTTCCAGTTCCTCTGGTTTCATCAACTTTTAATCACTGGGAATTTTTATTTGATTTTGATTTCTCTCGGACATGAATTCGACATTCAAGCAAATCGGGGTGAGTGTAACCGATTCTGTCGTTTTGATGTTCTCTCATGTATTGTCTTTGTTTGTATAAATTTGGAAGTGATCGTGGATGCAAAAGTCGCACAATATGACTTTAGGCCTCAACTTTCTTTAGTAGCACGTTATCAGATTATACAAAGGACAACAGAAGATATGGGAAAAAAAAAGTGCTTTGTTTTAATTGAGTATACTACAATATAGTATTGATATGAAAAAGTTTTTTAGAGGTGTTCTTGCCAGTGTTCAAGTGCTTGTCCTCGGAATTGCGCATAGATGGAGTCCTCCTTCAACATGAAGTGTAAGCATTGTCTTGTAACACACATTGCTCTTCTCATCAGCCATTTTGAAGCGAAAGAAGTGAAGAAGTGCCATTGCTACTATCTTCATTTGCCGGTATGCGAAATCTTTGCCAAGACAGATTCTTGGACCAGCCTACATACATAGTCAAAGAAAGAAAACATCACTCAGGTGTTATTAGAAAATAATTTCTTACTCTTATCTACGTAGCTTGTTTGCAAGAGAGTGTACAAACATGAAAGCTTATAAATTTGAATGGTGATTCGGGTTGGAACACGCCGTCCTTAAGCCATCTCTCTGGCTTGAATTCCTCAGCATCTTGTCCCCAAATGTAAGTCATCCTACCCATTGCATAGGCTATGTAGTAGATATTATCCCCTTTGCTCACTCTATGTCCATCTGGAAGAACGTCATCATTTTCTGCATATCTCGTGTCCTTTGGAAGGACCAACAAAGATTAAGAAAAATATTAAAATGTTCAATCACAGAAGAATCTCTTAAAGACTGGTTATTTTACCACAGGCACAGGAGGGTAAAGCCTCAAGGTCTCAGACAAGGCTGCATGGAGGTACTGCATCTGATCAAGAGCCTCTTCGTTAATACTTTCAATGAAACCATTTACGTCGGTTGTTTTCTCGTGACTTGATGTCACATCTCTGATTTCTTGTACGATTTTCTCCTGAACAAGTGGGTTTTTGCAGAGCATGTACAAGAACCAAGAGAGTGATGCAGCAGTTGTGTCCTTACCAGCAATCATAAAGTTCAGAATTATATCTCTCAGGTACTTATCATTCATGTTCTCCGGATCTTTCTCACTCTCCACTAGAAATCTCGATAGTATGTCCTCTCTAACAACCTAAAGACAAGCAAAACATTTTCCAAAAGGTTTAACACCAGTAAATGCAATCTTTAAGAGGATAAACTCAAGAGAACTCACAGTGTTCTGTTCCTCAGCAAGCTCTTTCCTTTTTGTGGTGATTAGACTATAGACAAATTTATCTATAGTAGCAATGCTCTTCTTGAGTTTAGATTGTGATCCAATGTTGAGAAACCATTTCAGCTTCCAAAGTGGATCTATGTATCTGGAACTAGTAGCAACGTTACCTTCATCAAAAGCCTCCATAAACTCTTCCCCTTTTTTGCTAAACCCATCCAAACATTTTAACTCCACACCAAACCCAACTTTAAAGATGGAGTCCAATGTACATCTCATCAACATGTCCTACCCTCAAAACCAAACATAACAAAATATCCTTTTGAGTTTCCAAATTTGGAAATAATGAGTCTGGTTTTATTTCGAAAACTTACTTGAGCATCAAAAGCTTTTCCAGAGAGAGCAACCCCCGAGACAAAACCAATAAGCTTAGATGCATTTCTCCTAAAAACAGAGCAGCTAAAATCTCTTAAAACTCTAGTAGAGAACTCAAAGCTCGCAAGCTTCCTCTGTTGTCTCCATTTCTCTCCATCAACAGCAAAGATCCCATGTCCTAAAAGATCCGCAAGATTCTCTCTACCAGCAGGTCCTTTACTATAGTTATCGAATCTTGTCTTGAGAATATGCTCCACGTTCCGAGGATCAGCAGTTAATATCTCGCTCTGTCCTGGACTCAAGAACCTATAAGTTGGCTTTGTTCTCGCGATCTCTGTCTCGTAATCGTATAATTCGTCTCTGTGGATGAGAAGATCAAAGACCGTGGCATGTACTGGAGCATATCTCTTGTCGTTTCTTGATTTTCCGGTAAAGATTCTGATCGTGAGATAGATAGTGAAAGACAAAACGATGAAGATCGTTGTTGCTACTGTAATAGCTATGCTCGTCAAAATCTCCATTTCTTTTCTTTCTTCAAAGTCAACGAAAATATCTAAAGTACAAAGAGACAAAAGGTACCGTACAGAGATTTTGACATTTAACGGCGGCCACACGAAGAAGATGGTGAAAAAAAAAAAAAAAAAATAGAAATGGGCCACCGAGAAAATATAATTGGGCCTAATTAAATAAGTGTCGGCCTTGTAAAGCGAATTCGAACCTTCTTACCCACACAGAGGGTTAAGACTTTACCGTGTGCTGTTTTGTTCATCGTTTGCGTATTTTCGTGGTTTCCCCAGTTCATACGATTTCATCAAAATTCAATTCACTGGGTTTTGGTTTTGATTTCGATTCGATTCTTCTCGGACATGAGTTCAATATCTGAGCACAACATGGTGAGTGAAACCAATTTTGTCTTCTTGATGTTTATATGTTTAATTAAACTCGGAGGATGATCGATTTTATTGTTTGCTTAGATATGAGTTTTCTCAGAGGTATAATTGATTCGTTTAGCTCGATTCTCAACGAAGAATCTAAGCAAGATTCTAGTGTATCATCATCATCAACTTCTTCTGGTTCCATGAATGGTATCGATGGAGTTCCGGTTACTAACGAACGAATTGCGTATAAGCTTAAAGGATACTTCGATTTAGCGAAAGAGGAAATCGCTAAAGGTATTAGAGCAGAAGAGTGGGGTTTACATGATGATGCTCTTCTTCATTATAGGAATGCTCAGAGGATCATGAATGAAGCTAGTTCTACTCCTTCTCCTTCCTATATTAGTTCAAGGTATTGATAAGTTTGATTTGACTTTATATGATTTTGGTGAAAAAAGAGTTTTTTTTTTTTTTTTGGTGATGATTTTGTTGAATGATATGGTAGTGAAAAGGAGAAGGTGAGATCGTACCGAGAGAAGATTTCAAATTGGCAAAATCAAGTATCTGAAAGATTGCAAGCTTTGGGTAAGCGTACAGGTGATCAATTTCTGATTTTTGACTTTTTTACATAGAAATATGAAGAAGCACAAGTGAATTCACATTGACGCTTGTTTGTTTTGCTTGTTTCTGGCATCAATGGTGCTCATATTTTAGGTGTTGGAGTGTCTGAGAATAAGGTATTTGTCTTGCTTCTTTCTCTTCTTTTTGTACTTTGTAGTTTTTTGTGATATGTTTGCCTTTCTGAGTCTACTAACTGAGAATAAGGTATTTGTCTTGCTTCTTTCTCTTCTTTTTGTAGTTTGTAGTTTTTAGTGATATGTTTCTGTATTAGGATTGATTGTTTCACTGAATTTGTGAAGGCATTAATTGTATACTTGATTATGTAGAGAACCGTAGCATCTCCTTCTTCGGCTTCAGTTTCCTCTACAGCGTCAAGGTATAGAAAAACTTCATTGCAAAAGACTCCAGTTCCCAGAGGTGGCATTGCAACGGCAAAGAACCCTAAAGATGCTGCTGCAAGCCCAAAACCTGTGAAAGAATCTGGAAATGTCTATGATGATAAGTTGGTAGAGATGATAAACACAACAATAGTGGATAGAAGCCCGTCTGTGAAGTGGGATGATGTCGGTGAGTGGGATTGTTATGCTTTTCTTCTTGTTTTGCCTTTTCAACACAGTATGTGGAAACACACTTATGCTGAATTATTGCAGCTGGACTTGATGGAGCTAAACAAGCTTTATTGGAGATGGTTATTTTACCAGCAAAACGAAGGGATTTATTCACTGGTCTCCGAAGACCAGCGAGAGGTAACATTTGCTAGCTTGGTTTCTTCTTGATCTTCTCCAGTGCCGTCATTGGTAAAGTATCTTCTTTCTTAGGTCTGCTTCTCTTTGGACCACCTGGAAATGGAAAAACAATGCTTGCCAAGGCAGTCGCTTCCGAGTCACAAGCAACATTCTTCAACGTCTCAGCGTCTTCTTTGACGTCAAAATGGGTGTGTTCTTTTGTAACAAGCCTTCTTGAAATTATTTTTTCAATTCAGATAGACAAACTGACTTTACTGTATTGATTCAGGTGGGTGAGGCTGAAAAGCTAGTTAAAACGCTGTTTCAAGTTGCAATATCCAGACAACCGTCTGTTATATTTATGGATGAAGTATGTACCTTTTTTCCTTTCCAAGTCTTGTATGTTAACTAGGCAGAGAACACACTCTTACCGGAGTTCTAGACAATACCATATAAGTTTTTAACCGAAGTGTTTCCTAAAAATAAGATGCAGCCATTGGAACTAACCATGCTTGTTTTTGTTATATATCAGATAGATAGTATAATGTCAACAAGGTCGATCAGTGAGAATGAAGCAAGTAGAAGGTTGAAATCAGAATTCCTTATCCAGTTTGACGGTGTGACTTCTAATCCTGATGATTTGGTGATTGTCATTGGTATGATTTCTGCTAATTCAGTCCACATCAAACCCAATCTTCACTCTGTTTAACATCTCGGATCAGTTTACATATATTCTGTTTTTCCTTAACCCTATAAATTTACTTGGATATTATGTTTTGCAGGAGCTACTAACAAGCCACAGGAGTTGGATGATGCAGTGCTCAGGAGATTGGTAAGAACATTATTGTCATCAGAATTTTTATGTCCACCATTTCGTAGGAAAGTATCTGATTATTTACTTCGATTTTATCACTTTGTTAGGTGAAGAGAATATATGTACCATTGCCGGATTCAAACGTCAGAAAACTACTTTTTAAAACTAAATTAAAGTGCCAGCCTCACTCTTTATCCAATGACGACATTGATAAAATCGTCAAAGAAACCGAAGGCAAGCTTTATAGATTAATAGTACCAGCAGATATATTTAGTGGTGCGAGTCAAGTAACTGATAAGCATAACCTTTCCCTATGCTACGCAGGATACTCAGGAAGTGATCTTCAAGCATTGTGTGAAGAAGCTGCAATGATGCCAATCAGAGAACTCGGTGCAGATATTCTTACCGTCCAAGCAAATAAAGTATTAGTTAAATCTTAGTCTCTCTAATCAATTTTGAAGTATCTTTGAGTTTATAAGGTTTGATCAATAGATGTGTCCATGTAACAGGTAAGACCTCTACGATATGATGATTTTCGGAAATCGATGGCAGTGATCAGACCCAGCTTGAGTAAAAGCAAATGGGAAGAGCTTGAACGTTGGAACTCAGAGTTTGGCTCTAATTGAATTTCTCCTTGGATTGTTTGTTTCTGTTGTAAATTTGAGGTAGGTAGTTTATAATATATGGTTTAGAGTTAAAAAAAACAACAACAAAACAATCAAAACGTTTTACTCTTCAAAGAAGAAGATTAATATTATTAAGAGATGGGTAATGTGATTGTGGAGTGGGAGTTTCGAAATTTAGAGAGAGCTTGGAGGGTAATATCGTCATTTTAGTGTAAAAGAGAGACTCGGAATAAAGAAAAACTACGAAACGCTGCGTATTGGATGGGTTTGTTTCTTCTTCAGGGACTTTGAATTTCAAATTTAGACTATCCGCTCTCTTTATCTGAAAACTCAGGCTCTTGCTCTTGCTCTTGCTCTCTCGCCGTCGTCTGAGTCGTTAAAAGTACGATGATCGGAAAAATGAGTAAGAGATCGACAGAATCTGACGCTGGCGATACCGAGAAGCAATGGTCCCTGGCAGATTTCGAGATCGGGGGACCACTTGGAAAAGGCAAATTTGGTAGAGTCTATCTCGCCCGAGAAGCCAAGGTACTCATTTCCCTTCGATTATCTCGAAATGAAATGTTAGATAAGGGTCGAGATTTCACTCAATTTGAGCTTTTACTGTTATGGAAACCTAATTTTGTGAATCAACTGTTTTGGTTGCGGTTTTGGGATATAGAGTAAGTACATAGTGGCGCTGAAAGTGATATTCAAGGAGCAGATTGAGAAGTATAAAATTCATCATCAGCTTAGGAGAGAAATGGAGATCCAAACGAGTCTAAGCCACCCAAATATCTTGCGTCTTTTCGGTTGGTTCGATGACGATGAGCGGATTTTCTTGATTCTTGAGTATGCTCATGGTGGTGAGCTCTATGGTGTGCTCAAAAAGAATGGTCATCTTACCGAACAACAAGCCGCCACTGTGAGTCTCTTTCGCTCCCTCTTCCCTTTATCTCAATTTTGCCTGAAGATTATCATTTTGTTGCAATGCTTCTCAAACGCTGTGTAAACTTGCTTCATGTGGTGAAACTGATGGCTTTTTTTCTTGATGATTCAAGTACATTGCAAGTCTCAGTGAGGCACTGGCCTATTGTCATGGCAAATGTGTGATTCACAGAGACATCAAACCTGAAAATTTGTTGCTCGATCATGAGGTATGTGTGTTTGGTTATAGTTTTTGCGTTGAGAACTCAGGATATTCATCATTAGTATCGTCATATACATGCAGGGGAGACTGAAAATTGCTGACTTTGGATGGTCAGTTCAGTCAAGTAATAAGAGAAAAACAATGTGTGGAACCTTAGATTACTTGGCACCTGAGATGGTAGAAAATAGAGATCACGATTATGCAGTTGATAACTGGACTTTAGGCATACTGTGTTACGAGTTTCTCTACGGTAACCCTCCATTCGAAGCCGAGAGTCAAAAAGATACATTCAAGAGGTAAGAGAATATATTAGGCTTTTATCTTTGTGGAAATTACAGAATAAACTTAAACATCCGCTCCTGATGAATACTCACTGTTATGCAGAATTCTTAAGATTGATCTTAGTTTTCCTCTTACACCGAATGTTTCAGAAGAAGCCAAAAATCTTATCAGTCAGGTACACCCAAGCTAAAGCATACCCACAACGACTCTCTTGCTTGAATAGTTATTAAGCATTAACATATAGTTGTTTAAAATCTTTTGCAGCTTCTTGTTAAGGATCCCTCAAAACGGCTCTCCCTTGAGAAGATCATGCAACATCCGTGGATTGTCAAGAACGCAGATCCGAAAGGTGTGTGTGCCTCAATTGATGTTTGATGCTATTCTCCCAATCATAGGACTAGGAGCTTATATGTACGTATAACCTAATGTTATGAGAAGAATGTCTTAGAAGTTCAGCGAAAGCACATTCCATGTGATATATTGTCTCATTTCAGCACAATATAATCTAGCTAAAATTCGTGTCTCGATATTTTTTTGTGATTTGACTTCTTCTAACAACAGAAAGATCCATAGATAGAAACTCAAAACATCAAAACATTTGAACCTCGACAACATTTCTATGTTTCTAAACACCTGACGAAAACAAAGACAAGTACTCCTCATCGTCTTCTTCACCCCTTAAAGCTGTGTCAGTAATGGTAGTGTCGGTACTGTAACTACAACTGCTCTTCTCATCAGAAACTCGGGGCAGTGGAATTCCCATGACTGAAACAGAAAGCTTCTGGTCATCTCCATCTTTGCAAGACACAGATCTAGCAGCTGATTTCACAGTTAACGGACTAAAACCGCTACGCTCATGTAAGTTAGTAGTATCCACTGGATGCTTCTTCTTGATACCTCTATGCATGTGCTTATCGCAGTATTTCTGACCAGACAAAGCATCTTTGCTGCATCTCCACTTCTTCCCATCTGTTCTTCGGCACCTTCCTGGTTCATTATCTGTATCAACTCTTTGTAAACGAAACACACCACGTTCTACAACAAAGAAACAAGATATAAGACCAAAAAGCTCACTCATAAAAATCCCTACAAATGACGATAAGCTGAGGTATCAAAGGTGTTACCTTGAAGAACAGTATCTGGAGAAAAGTGGATACTAGAAAACAAGCCACCATTAACAACATTCATATTCTTCCATTCTCTGCTTCTTGCAATGATATCATTCTTCCGGTTACTTGAGAACTTTGCAGCTTCTAAGGAATTATCAGATACCTCGGGGAAGAACTTTTGAACAGAAGGTAAGTTCTCATCACCTGGTAATGGAACAATGGAACCTGGTCAATCCAAGGAACAGTGAAGAAATGAATTCTAAAGATATTTTTCTGTTGTGAGTCTGGTATCATAATACCTTGAAGAGGAACAACTCTTACACACAAACTCGACTCTTTTGTACTGATAAAGTCATCACAACTTATCTCCATATTCCTTCTGCTCCTGTCGCAGTAACTCACACTTTTGTTTGTGGATTCAGATATCACTAAAGACGGACGAATGACATCATCACAAGCTCTGGCACTAGGCAATGAAGCAATGGTAACTACCTGCGCATTACTAGAACCCGAGATTGTCCCACGAAGAACACTCTGACTATCGTTATTCCTGTCCAAACCACAAGTGTTGTCGTGTTTGGTTGACGACGAAGCAACCTCATAAGAAGATTCCACAAGCTTTCTTGAACGTTTACGGCCTCTATGCATGTGCCGTTCACAGTACTTCTCATATAGAAGGACCCTGTTCCTACACCGCCATTTCTTCCCATCTGTTCTCCTGCACCTTGTGGGTTCAGGTTCCACCGTGTCGATATGGTTTACTCCCTTATTACTCAACACTGCAACACAATCCCCAATAATCACAAAATCAAATTCAGACAATCAACTGTTAAAACGGGAACATAAACTCTAATAGATTAACTCATAGGTAACCAAAGACGTTGTGTATGTGAATCTTTTAACTCATCCAAATCAAAACCCAAGAGCCAAAATCATGTTTCAGGAAGTTAAATAAGCATAACCCATCAAGCTACTCCACATGAATACCTCAAAATTAGAACAATAACTTCTCTAGATTCTAAGGTCCAAGACTTACTATAGTAAGTGTATGTAAAAAATCTTCTAAATTAAGTTCTTTCTTATCTCCTAGCTCAAAAATCATGCAAATACTGCTAAGAATTTCAAGATATTTACGAGAAGAAGAGTGATAGTTGTAATTGGAGGAGGAAGAGAGAGCAAGGCTGTTCCAAATAGGCACCACAAGATGATGAGGCACACGAAGACCAGCCTCTATGTATCTATACACCAAAGTTTGCATCCGAAACTCCATTAACTGCGCCGCCTTCATCCACGGCCACTTCTTCCCCATCCTCTCCACCTCAACCTCCTCCTGCTCCATTTTAGGGCTCTGCATCTTCATAACAAAAATTGGTTTTAAAACTTTGTTTTCTAGGGAAGCTTTATTCAATTCCAAGAAAAAAGGAGACAGCTTTTGAAACTAGCGACACAGAGAAGCAAAAACCCACCTCCCAAGAAGAAAAAGCTTTAACACAAACCAAAAGATACTAAAACCTCTTGCTTTGTTCGCTTCTGTTTAAGAGAGAGAGAGAGAGAGAGAGAGAGAGAGTAAAAGAAAAACAGAGGAAAGACGAAGAGGCGAGTGTGAAGAGATTTAAAGGCAGTTGTCAGGTTTCTGACAAATGCGTCAGCGTTTTTCAGCCTTGTTTGAATACTTTTCGGACATTAAAAAAGTTGAGTTTCCCTCTTTAAACAATGACACACAGAGAGACTGATAACTCTCTGTCCAGCTGCTCCACTACATGTCCACATTCTTATTCCTCTATATGGGCCCATCTTATCATGAAAGGCCCATTACTACTACTCCATTAAGTTGGGCTCTACTCTTCTTCTTTTTTTGTTTTCTTTAATTATTCAAATTTTGTTGGTTCTCATTGGCTTTACTTATAACATTTCTGTTTCCTGATGCCTTTTCATCTTGGTCACATTTGTAATTATAAAAATCTAGATTTTTCAGTAGGCAGAAAAAATAACACACAAAGCAAAATACTTTATTTATAGTTAATAAGGAAAGTTTCATCATGTAATGCTGGTATCATATACTCTCACTCACTAGTGGTTTTTCTAATACTGACCACACGTGGAAAAGTAATGCTTTAACAGCTCAAAAAAATCGTGAACGTCGTGATTCAATATTATTGGTCCTCACCGAATTGTGGATAATTCTATCTATATTTAAATATGAACGTCGGCAACCAAAATAAGTACTATATAAAAAACATGTATTCATTTCTACAACCAGATTTTGAATCATACATATTAAAATGCAGTTGATTACATAATATCAAATAGTAATACAAACTACCAAACTATATTTATATTATATGTCATGGTCTTTACATATTATTTTCTACGATACAAAATGTCAGGTTTGAATCATTGATGAGTAAGATACATATTCTATTGCTCAAGCAACTAATCCACAAACAATTTTTGGTATATAAAACATTTCAGATAACAAAATAGATAACATTACTGAATACTGACCACCACAAATAAAACTCAACACTCTCGATCAATTTAGATGAAGAAAACGAGTATTTAGTCCGTGTAGAAGAAAAAGAAGCCCAAATCTCTTTATTTTGGTGAAGTTTAAACAATAAGACAATTAAATGGAATGGCCTCTTTTCTTCTTCCAGCTATGTCCGAAAAAGAACACATGGCCCCAATCCAACCCAACTCACTACTTATCTATAATACAACACACATTTCAAAAATAAAAGGCAAAATTAACTCTAGTCAAATATTATAACTTAACCATGGTTAACATTTAACCGTGGTTAATAATGATCTTTCTCTTTTAACTTCAGCTCTCTCTCACTCAGTCTTCTCCACTTCCTCTGCTCCACACTGACACTCAAAAACTCAAAACCGTCTCATCATGGCGGCGTCACAGACATTCTCACTCCTCGCCTTCACTTTCTCCCTCCTCGCCGTCGCTTCCACCGTGAGTAGCCACAACATCACTCAAATCCTCGCTGATTCTCCTGATTACTCTTCCTTCAACAGCTACCTTTCTCAGACGAAGCTCGCCGACGAGATCAACAGCCGCACGACGATTACAGTTCTCGTCCTTAACAATGGCGCAATGTCTGCTCTCGCCGGAAAACATCCTCTCTCCGTCATTAAAAGCGCTCTAAGCCTCCTCGTACTCCTCGATTACTACGATCCACTAAAACTCCACAAGATCTCCAAAGGCACAACTCTCTCCACCACACTTTACCAAACCACCGGAAACGCTCCCGGAAACCTAGGATTCGTCAACATCACCGATCTCAAAGGAGGCAAAGTTGGATTTGGCTCCGCCGCTTCAGGTTCCAAACTCGATTCATCTTACACCAAATCCGTTAAACAAATCCCTTACAACATCTCAATCCTCGAGATCGATGCTCCGATCATCGCTCCGGGAATTTTAACCGCTCCTGCTCCTTCCGCCGCCTTGTCAAACATCACCGGATTACTAGAGAAAGCCGGTTGCAAAACCTTTGCAAATTTGCTTGTCTCAAGTGGAGTTCTCAAGACTTACGAATCCGCCGTTGAAAAAGGCTTGACGGTTTTTGCACCGTCCGATGAAGCTTTTAAAGCTGAAGGTGTACCAGATCTGACGAAGCTCACACAAGCTGAGGTGGTCTCGCTCTTAGAGTATCACGCCCTCGCTGAGTATAAACCTAAAGGCTCATTGAAGACTAACAAAAACAATATCTCCACGTTAGCCACTAACGGCGCCGGAAAATTCGATCTAACTACCTCTACCTCCGGCGATGAAGTCATTCTCCACACCGGCGTTGCTCCGTCGAGACTCGCCGACACTGTGCTCGACGCTACTCCGGTTGTGATATTCACGGTGGATAATGTCCTCCTCCCTGCTGAGCTATTCGGAAAATCTAAATCTCCTTCTCCGGCACCGGCGCCGGAGCCAGTTACCGCACCGACACCATCTCCGGCGGATGTACCTTCACCCACCGCGGCTTCACCACCGGCACCTCCGACGGATGATTCACCTGAAAGTGCTCCTTCAGACTCGCCGACAGGTTCAGCGAACAGTAAGTCGGCTAACGCGGCGGTTGGCATGAGCACACCGTCGTTGTTCACCGCATTGGTCACTATCGCCGCCGTTGTCGTCTCCGTGTCTCTCTGCTCTTAGAACCTTTCGAATTCTCTTCGTAATTACGCAGACTGCCACTCCCTTTGTTTCTTTTTAATTTATTTTCTTTTAATTTTTATTTTTGTGGTTATGAGTTGTTGAGTTTGAAAACATGGGATTAGTGAGTGAGGTTTATTTAAATCTTTTGTTAATCACATTTTCATTATTGCTTTCACTGTTGATCTGATTGAGATCTTTGTCCTTCAACTTATTTTATTTAACTTCTTTTCCATTTTTGGATAATTTTTGTACCGACAATAATGCAGCAAACTAGAAGTTTACCTTTGAGGTTTATCAAAATTCTTAAAAAATTCTTAAAATCCCTACTTGGAACTAATTTAATGACTTTCTTTTGTTAAAGAACTACTTTATGATACAAGATCAATATAAGGTTTAGAATTTGACGTTTTCTCTCGTGTAGTGTTTGATTTAAAGATGCTTTTAGTATTATTTTTTAAAAATAAATTTTAGTTGGGTAAAATTCCTAGGCCCCATTTTTTTATTTTTTATTTTGTTGTTTTTAAACTTCGTTTAGAAAGCAAATTGAAACCTTATTTACCATCGCCGGCTAAACGCTAAGTTTTCCCGCGAAGCAACGAACAAAGCAACATTCCCACTTTAAGACTTAACTTAATTAAATTATTAATTTTAAAACGATGAGAATATTCCAGATTGTTTTAAACGATGTCGTTTTCACATGTACAAAACAAATTAAGGGGGTGTTATTGGTTTGGGATTTAGAAAGACTTTTAGTGACTTGATAATAAAGGATTTTAAAAGATTGTTAAAAAGTTTTATATTATCTTGATGATTTATTTTCCAAAATCTTGTAAAGTCTTTAAAACTTTTTTCCATAATCTTGTATACTCTTGATGACTTTTCCAAACTTTTCCTACAAAATATTTCCAAAATCTTGTCCAATTTTTATTAACGTCTAGTGACCATCTTCTATCTTCTATATAACATGTTCTGTGTAGGCCTGTTTTTCTTCTATATACTAGGTTGTTTATCAGAGTTACAGAGGTACGCTTCTTCTATCATAAACTCGCTTATGAATTTCGTGTGTCGATCGTTAGATTCTTGTATGCTCGTATAATATTTAATTGTTTTCATTGTGTTTGGATCTTTTGATTCTCTAGCACCAAAATCTATAAAATTTGCAAAAGTCAAGTGATGTGATACGTTTGGTTTAATAATATATACATGCGGAGATTTGCTTATGCTGTGATACGTTTGGTTTTGTGACAAGTCAATGGTCTTTTTTTTTTGATACGTTTGATTTGCTTATCATGATCATAATAATTCATAAGTGTAGATGTGATACGTTTGGTTTAATATTAGGATGTTTGAATGTGAAAAAAATGTCAATAAGATTTGCTTAGTCAAAGATAAGTTGTTTGAATATCGGACATCCTTATGTTTTATATTCATCTGTAACAAATGCTTTTAGTCAATGGGAGATTCCCAAAAGAGTAAGGAAAATGGTCCATACAATCAATGGGGACCAGAGGAGACAAAATTGTTGGTAGAGTTACTTGTTGATGCAGTTCACCGAAATTGGCGTGATAATAGCGGTATCTTTAGCAAGCTAACGGTGGAGCAAAAGATTTATGCATTACACAGAAAATTGTTACCTCTCTTTTGTTAATATGACTATTAATATCATTGCTATCATATATGAATTTCAGAAAAATATTATCTAGTTGATTGTGGATTTGCAAATCGACGCAATTTTTTAGCTCCGTTCAGAGGTACAAATTAAAGTATCATCTACAAGACTTTAGAGGTCAAGGTTGTGATCCTAGTAATCAAAATGAGTTATTCAACTTGCGTCATGCATCTTTGAGAAATGTGATCGAGAGAATTTTTGGTATCTTCAAATCTCTCTTTTTGATTTTCAAATCAGCACCGCCTTTTCCTTTTAAGGTACAAGCAGAACTTGTATTAGCTTGTGCTGGATTACATAACTTTCTTCGTAGAGAATGTCGGTCCGATGAGTTTCTTCCCGAAGAATACAGTGACAACGACGAAGAAAACAATGAGAGCCACGAAGAAAACAATTATGAGGAAAATGGAGATACGGGACCTCTCCAATCTCAACAAAGGGAATATGCTAATAATTGGAGAGACACAAGCTGCTAGTATGTGGGCAGAAGCTACAGGAACATGGAGCATACCATGAAGATCATGAAGTTTTTATTTTCAAATATTTTTCTCTTCTTTGCCTGTGTTGGATTAAGGGGTGACAAAGATCTTGGTTTGTTTGGTTTCATTGTTTGTGACGAAGCTTGCTATCTTTGAGCAAACTTTTGATTTTCTTTTTATAATAAGTTTTTATTTACCAGAGAGTTGTACTAATTTGGTTCTTCGATTTTGCGGTTTTGAGTCTTGATAGTCTTGTTTTTGCTTCATCTTCTTCCTTTGATATCTTCTGATTCAGACCTCGGTTTGGAGATCTAAAAGTTGTTCTGAAATCTTGAGATCAAGATATTTCCAACCGTATAAAGATGAGCTTCTGATTCCTTGTGAGTCGACTTGAGAAAAAGTTTGAAGTTGGGGCACTTCAGCTTCGTCGCTCTGTTCTTAGGTCTTGGTAGATTGGTCATAACTTTCAGACCGTGACAGCAAATGACGTTCCGCTTTTTCCTATAGCTTCGTATATCTCTCTACTATTTTTCAACAAAGTTTCATATTTTTCTGGGTTGTTTTGATAACCCTTTCAGTCTTTGAACCAGAACACGTCTGTTCTGTTATCCTTCTTCTTCTTTTTTGGTTTTTTTGTTTTTTGTCTTTGTCTTTGTCATCTATTTGTCCACCGCTTCATCCTCTTGAATATTCGCAATTTGGCCCATTCATTCACCAATCAAACACAAACCCAACAAATAGAAAACTGTTTATTAAGCGAAGACAAATAGATGACCAAGACAAAGACAAAAAACACAAACAGATCATATCATCTCATAAACAGATGTCTTTGTCTCCTCCATTCCCCAATTTTGGAACTTGAAATTGCTGGAGAACAGGAGAAGCAGCGACGGAGACGATTCCGGTGTCAAAGATTGCTGACATATACAAAGTCATGGACTCTATTCACAATCTCTCTATTTTATGGGGGAGTTTTCATGACTTTTTTTATGAAAAAAATTATATAAAATCCTAAACCAATAACATAATATTTTAATTTATCAACAATCCAAGATTCTTTTGTTTTAATTGAATAACACAAAACTTTTAATGACTCTATAAAACTCTTAATCCAATAACACTAGATTTATAAAAATTTTATATTACTTTTTATAAATCTCAAACCAATAACACCAAATTGTAATAGAGTTTTTAAAAGTCTTGATTGAATAACAACATATTCTACATAACTTTTAAATTCATTAAAAGTCTTTCTAAATCCTAAACCAATAACATCCCCTAAACCAATGAATGGGTCTACATTGTCGAGGGTTGGGAGAGGTGGCCCAGTTATATTTATTAAGAGAGTGAAAAGCCCGATTTCTTTCATCTCTTGACACCGACACTTCTTTAAACGATGGAAACGTTTCTTTATTCCGAGAACACAAACCCTATCGTTCTTAACTCCATAAAACAACAAACAGTTCTTATTTCCATTCAACGAACGACAGAGCGTTTAGACATCAGTCTTCCTCGAGAAGCTTTACCAACAGAGAGACTCGTGACAGCACAAAACCCCTTCACTCACTGGCGTATTTGACAGTTAGGGTTTCAAAATCCCCGCCATTTTTCTTCTATAATCGGCGTATTAATGGCGTCTACGGCGGCTGAACAAGACGAGAGAAAAGTTGCATCGGTAGCATCGAACGCGAGCCAGGACATCAAAACGGCTGCTGCTGCATCGCGGATCAATAGCCAAAACGGCACTTCTCCATCTCCATCGCTCAACTCCAAGGATTTCATCGTCTCCTCCGCAGCTAACATCGCTTCTCAGCCGTTACAGAACTACGATTCGAACGTTTGGGGAGTCCTCACCGCAATTTCAAGCAATGCTCGCAAACGCCGGCAGGTGCGTTTCTCTCTTAAAACTTCTAGTCTTGTCGAATTCCAAATTTTGATTCTCGTCGAAAGTTTGATTTGGGTTCCTGATCAATGGATTTATAGGGCATAAACATACTTTTGACTTCTGATGAGCACTGCTTAGGACGGCTTCCATGTCACGCTAGTTATCAGATAGAATCAAATGCAATTAGTGGGAATCACTGTAAGGTATACCGTAAGCGGGTCACAGGCGGTGATGGGGATAATACTTCTAGCTGTGATGTATCTGTCTTTGTGGTAGACACAAGGTTAGTGAGCTTCTCTTCTGTTTCAATTGTGTGATTCATTTTTCTCTGCAGTTGTAAAATGTAGGCTTTATTTATGTCTTCGGTTTTCTTTGATTCAGTACAAATGGTACGTTTCTCAATTGGCAGAGGTTAAAAAAGAACGGCCCTGAAGTCAGGGTTCAGCACGGTGACATCATATCGCTTGCTGTTCCTCCAGAGCATGGTAAGATAAGTTTTCTGTGTCTTAGCATTGTGAATTCATATCTCACCTTTTATCACTTGTTTTAGGGCTAAATGGTTAAGCTGATTTGTTTTGTTTGGGTTACCGGTTACTATAATGTTTCCTGTTTTATGCCCATTTTTCCAGATCAATTAACATGTTAACACTAGACCTCTGCATTTTTTTCAGAGAAGGCATTTGCATTTGTATACCGCGAAGTACTTGGTAATAATCCTGCACTTTCCTGCATGAACAGAAAAAGAAAAGCAGGTACGAGTCACGAAGGTCAACACATTTTTTTTCTTTTTGCTCTAACTTTCCATCTATATATAACTGAGGAATGGCATGTCTCAGGGCTCTTTTTTCACCACTATATAGAATATCTTTTTTTTCACTTATGATCTGTGTTTTTGCTCATGTGAAGAGGATACTACATGTGAAATTAAGAGGCAGAAGGGCATAGGGATTGGTGGTCCCAATGGTCCAATATCTCTAGATGATTTTAAGAGCCTCCAGCGTTCAAACACAGTATGTTCATCATTGATGTTGGTTTCCGTTATTAGATGTAAGGGATTGTGTCAATCTTGATGTCATTCTCAACTTTTTTGTCAACGAATCAATGTTGTATTCAGGAACTGAGGAAGCAATTAGAAGCACAGGTGCTTACCATTGACACTCTGCGTAATGAGTCCCGCTCAATTGTGGAGCACCATGAAAGTGTATGTTGAGTTTTTCTTTGAATCTTTGTTGTGGCCGGGGGTGGTTTTGTTATGTTAAATGCTGTTGCAAACGATAAAAACCAACAATAATCATGTTTGAGTGATTGATGGATTATTTGAGTATCTTTACTGATATAACTTTGCATTTGCAGGAAATAAAACAGATAAAAGAATCCACTGCAAAATCATTTCATAATGAACTGATTGAGCTGCGTGATCAATTAGATACTAAGCAGAAGGAACTGGCGCAGGCCAACAAATTATCAGCTGAACAGAAGAATTCCATAGATGAACTTGGTGAGAGAGTAAGCGCTTCTTTGCAATCTCTCAGTGAAGCAAATGAAGTAATTAAAAGGTAAACGGAATGTTTTTCCCTTGTTGATTGTTAGATCATATTTTATGCAAGTATTGTGACAAGTTTAATTTACCTGTCCCAACAATGATCTGATTAAAACCATCTTTCACTTCGAAATGTTTCACTTCGGTCTTTTTTGGCAACAACATATAGCTTAAAAATTTATATACACTGCTTCTTTTGGTCGTGAATTGGTCTGTGAGTATGAACTGTTTCTTGTTCAAATCACTTTCTTCATATTGAGTTGTGTGACCTTTCTGGAATATCTTATGTGACTATGCTTTCATAGCCTGAGCATTGCAAATATAACCTTAAGGAAAAAAATACATCTTGCTTTCAGTCAAAAGGCATCCATAGCTGAGCTGAAGACAGGGTTGGATGAAGAGAGAAATCAAAGAAGAGAGGAAAGAGAAACTGCCGTTGCTGAACTCAAAGCTGCGATGCATAGATGCCAAATTGAAGCTCAGGAAGAATTGAAAAGATTTTCTGATGCTGCTATGAGACACGAGAGGGAACAACAAGAAGTAATCAACAAAATGAAGGTATGAATAGACTTAGTTGTGTGAAGTAACGTTTCTCATTATTATGCCCTTCGAATAAGACAGTTTGCTTGGCCAATATTTTAGGAGTCAGAGAAAGAAAGGTCAATGCAAGTGGAAACATTGATGTCGAAATTGGTATGTTTTTGTAAATGTTTTTCATAATTAGCCTCTTGATCACAAAAACCTTGTACGCGTATATTTTAATTTGACAATTTTTGTGGTGTTTTATAGGAAGATACGAGGCAGAGGTTGGTCGATTCTGACAATAGAAACCGTCAGCTAGAAGCTCAAGTGTCTGAGGAGCAGCTTGCTTCTGCTAATGCACAAAAAGTACCTGACCTGAATGCAATTTCTTCCTTATTCTGCATGGTTCTTTTTTCTCTTTTATTTCTGTACTAACGGGTGCATTTGTTGCAAAAAATTCCTTTGGAGCAGAAATTGGAAGAACTTGACCTTGAAATAAAAAGACTGCAAAAGGATCTGGACAGTGAAAAGGTAAGAATGGAAACAAATTTTTGTGCCTTATACTTTTTCCCCAGTTTTACATTAATGACATGCTTCTGTTTCCTACCTTGGATTTCTGCTACGGAAATATGATACCATGTTTTTACAGATCGTGGACACGTAGCTGAGATTTTTTTTGCGTCCTCTCCATAGTATGTTTAAGCTGAGACTGTCTTTGTTATGTTAGCAGGCAGCTCGAGAAGAAGCATGGGCGAAAGTGTCTGCCTTAGAGCTAGAGATAAGTGCTGCTGTTCGAGACCTTGACGTCGAAAGACAGAGACACCGTGGTGCAAGGGAAAGAATCATGCTCCGGTAAGAACATCGACATGCATGGTACTATAACGTTAGGCTGCTATTTCTAGTGTATATGATTGGTTGGGTAACCTACTTTCTGTTTAACATCTTCAACCGTCAATGGTGAAAACAACACATGCATGTTTTTTTTTTCTTTTAAGTTTGTGTATTGTTTAGTGCTTCTGTACAGTTCTTTTGCTGTCTAGATTCCCTGATTGGGAGGTAGTTTCTTGTTGACAGTGTTACCTTAAACTATTAAATTTCACGCAAGTTTGATTGGTCTAACATATTGACACACGGAATCTTCATGTAGTGAAACTCAGATGCGGGCATTTTATTCTACGACTGAGGAGATCTCTGCTCTGTTTGCAAAGCAGCAGGAACAGCTCAAGACTATGCAGAGAACTCTGGAAGATGAGGATAATTGTGACAATACTTCACTAGATATTGATCTTAATCCAATAAACAGAAGTCCCAACAGAGCTAATACGCAGGAAGATAAAAGAGCAACTTACCATTTGAATTGTGCTGCCAGGGCAAGCTCGTCCACTTCAGGGCAAAGGTCTACCAGAAATGAAGTTTTGGATACGTCATGTGAAGATGCAGATGCTACCCAAAAGCATGATTGTGAAATCATGAGTCAGGAAGGCCAAAACACCCAAGAAGCAGAGTATCCAAGCTCTGAAAAGGTCGCAAAGGGTGGCTTTGGCTCAGATATAGAAGGTGTTGGTACAGCACCCACTTCGGGAACAGACCCTGTAGGAACAGAGCAAGTTAATGAAACTCAAAGTCCAGGAAATGATTATGAGAGAAATGGTCATCTGAGGAACTCGCTTATTTTAGCTGGTGATACAATGCAAATAGATTGTGAAACTCAGGTACATGAAAGTGTTCAGAATGATGGAGCTGTTCTCTTGTTAAGGAACCCGAACGATCAAAGGGATACGCAAGACACAGAGGGAGTAGGCACTATAAGGACGTCGGATCTTCTAGCTTCTGAAGTTGCGGGGAGTTGGGCTAATAGCACGGCTCCTTCTGTACATGGAGAAAACGAAACTGAAAGAAGTAGAGAAGATGAAGAGAGTCAGACTCAAAAAATCAAGGAAGTGACCATAGTACAGGATTCTGCTGGTCAGATAGGCGAAAGCCAAACTAAACCGACAAGTCCAGGGGTCCTGGTCACTAAGAAGGATGATGCTGAGCCTGAGCGTGGAGTTATTAACGAGGCAGTGGGGATCATTGATCAAGGGAAGATAAAACATGGTACTGGTTCGGACTCAGAGACAGAGAGTTGTTCGGAATCTGATGATGATCATGAGAAGGAAAAACACAATCCTGTCTCAGACTCTGATACAGAGGGTTCTGATATGAAGGATGACAAGGGATCACTCTCTTTGGATCCCGATACAGAAGAAAGCCATGAAGCTGATGGGGATCAGAAACAAGTGGACACCATGGATGAAGACGATAAAGCTACTTAGCAAGGTTTCCTTTTCAAAATCTCATTCTCAGTTAACAGATTCATGATTTTACAGTCTTTCCAAATCCCTCTTTGTTTTGTATTCGTACACACCGGGCTCATTTTTTCGTTTACATTAGAAGTAGGATGTAGATAACGCAGGACAAATGGTAAGTTTGTAGCACGAGGAGTTATAATTTACGTGGAATGCAAAGCTAAACGAAGTGATTAAAAAATTTGAAAGTTTAAGATGTGTCTACTTCAGAAAAAAATCTCTCCATAATGTGATGCAATGATATCAAAGATAGAATGAAGGGGAAAGGAGGTGGCTAAGCTAGAGATGAGATGGGGCTAAAAATAGACAGCAAAAAGAGTTAGTCAGAGGAATCATCAATGGAAAATCTGAAATTAAAAGAGAGGCTTTGATGGTGAAAGGACCAAGAGAAGCTCCTTTTACCACCATTTCATCATTATAGAAACAGTAGCAACTCCAAAACTTACCCTCCAAACTCTAATCAATTTCTTGTCATTTTTATGATCTCTTTAGTGGTAAAAAAACTCTTAGGTTTGATTGAGAAGATCCATTGTTGTCTATGGGATACTCAAAAGGATGGGTATCAATGATAGTTGATATAATAATAGAGTTATAACAACACATTATAACAAGTTTTGAACACTTTATAGAGAGAAGCGTGGATGGGGTTTCATTTCGGTGTTGACTATCACCTCCAATTCCATTGATGCCTCTTATTACTAGTTTGTCTTTGCATTTTGGTTTCTATGAAAATATCAATACAAGAAATGAGTAGAGTTTATAGTGGTCCTAGTCCTTGCCCTCATCAATTTATTTTTTTTTTTCTCCATATATATCATCAATACATGTAATGAGTATTTTTTTTTTTCTTTTTTGTCAATGAGTAGCTTGATATTTTTATTGAATGGTTACGAAATTTAGCTTAGTATATATCCATGTTTCCCATGAAACTATTTTTAAGTGTTTCTTCTTCTTTTTTTCTTGCTGGAATTTGTAGAAATTTAAGATGGTAAAATATAGTTAGAAGATTGGTAAAAAATAAATTATAGTTTGAAGAATATGGAGTATAATTGATTGGGCTATAAGAAGAAGAAGGGGGAGTATAATTGATTGGGCATGTGCATGTGGAATTTGGGTTTGAAAATAGCCCACAAGATTCATAATGCAATGATGATGATGATGGTTGATGATGATGATGATAATGAATCCATCGTCGTCGAGTGGGGAATGGGGGTTATTATGGCAAATGGGTATGATGATTGTGGGAAGAAGAAGCCAAATCGGTGGTTTCGTTTTCCAAATTAAATGTGCTTTGGCTTTTGCTTCTTCTCTTACTCGAGTACTCCATGACTTTTTCCACTACTACTATTACATGTATGTATGTATGTATATGTATATATGCATTACAAATTAAATATAGTAGATGTGTATATTGGTAAAAGTCACTGCACCCGATTCGGTAGTATCCATTTCACACTTTTTCCTGATCTTCCTTCCAAGTTTCAGAAACCATTCTCTAAAACCTCGCTATATCTCACGTGACCCATCACGAGCCATGATTCCCTCTTCTTACCGGTGCTTTGCGTTTCATGTTTTTGTATATATATAATTTATAAATTTTACCAAAAAAGTTTTTAACTCGTATGATTTCATTTGAATAAAAAAAAAAACTATTTTAACACGTAATCATAAACTCAAACTAGCAAAACAAAAATTATATGTTTTACCGTATAAATTTTGGACTACTGCCCATAAAGAAAAGATAAAGAGAATGCTTATTAATCTAAAGACTACACATCCAACATGTAGAAGAAACTATTGGACGGGGAACAACGACAACACATGGGTGTAATTAAGTAAATTATAAATCAACTTTAGAACTTAAGTCTTATTGTGTGTATTTAACGGAATGATTAACCATCATTACATATGACTTCAACGATTTGAAAATTCTTGATTTACACTCTCTACCTTGGATGCTCGGGTACGTAATCTTTTTCCCCTTTTGAAAAAGAAGGGTGTTATTGGGATTATGATTCATAAAAGCGAATATTAAACAGAAAACACAATTGAAAAAAAAAAAAAAAGAGACAAAGACTTGTGATTTAAAAAGTTAAGAGAAACACTTGTACTTGTAAAGGAAGATCGAGGTTTTGACGTACTCTAACCTTTTTTGACTTCTTTGGCTCCTAAATAATCATGATTTGACCTTTTGGCAGTCAAAGAAATCTGCCAAATCACTTCATAAACTCAGATAATTGTTGAATAGCAAATATGAATCCTATCCCTTTTGTTGTAGTAATTTTAGGTTAATCTTGTCACATAGACGGTATAAAACCACATTCTCATTTATCCATTTATATTTTATTGTGTAACGGTATTGAAGTATTAAAAAAAAAAAAAAGGCTACATATGTCCAAGTCTAACGGCAGACCTAATGTATGAACACATTCCGACCGAATAAATTACTACAACAAGCATTTTTAGATATGAACTAATATATTTGTAAAGTATAATTGATGATGTATCAATAGCCAAATGTTACGCAGATTTGACTAACTGTCACCTTGATTTAAGCTTCATGCCACCGTCACCAATGTAATACATTAAGTTGACTAACAAACAAAACTTTAATAAGTTATAAACCAAAATTGAATAGTTTCTTATGTCGTGTGTGTATACCTTTTAACGGTGGATTGAGCTTTTTAGGGAAACTTCCTAAATTCTTCCAAATAGTACATTTAACTAATCAATCAGTCAAAAACGGAACAAGATATACATAGAGAGAGAGAAAGGACAGTTTTTGATATACACGATCTTCTTCATCCTCTCAAAATTTCAACTTCATCTTCTCCCTCATCACATTTTTCCCTGTCCCTTTGTAATCATGATTCTTCTTTTGCCATCATTACCTTCTAAAGGAGCCTCTCTCTCTCCTCTCTCTAAACGAATAATGCAAAGGGAACACAAACTCACAACAAACTTTCTCATCTATATAACGCCTCTCCTATATCTCTCCCATTAATCAAACACGTCTCACTTATATATCTCTTCCTCTTTTCTTCTCTCTTCATCAACCTAGCTCCCAAGATGTGTTTGAGTTCTTCAGAACCATTTTCAGACACACCCACGAGATTAGTATTGTACCTCAAAACACAAAGTCACGTTCGTATTCCTCGTCTCTCCAGGTTCAATCTCCATCATCATATACACCTACCTCTAGGAGATTATCATCGACTACTATGTAATGACGTTCTGAATCATTATAATTTTTTTATTTTTTCCTTTTTTCAGGAGGAGACGGATGTGGCGGGAAGAAAAGAAGATGGAGATGATCAATCTAAAGCTTTACGTGGAGAATCAAAACATCATAAGAGAGAACGAGAAACTTAGGAAGAAAGCTCTTCTTCTTCACCAAGAAAACAAAGCTCTCTTCTCTCTGCTTCAGACCAAAAAACTCTCCTCTGTTCCATAAATAATATCTTACCATCATCACCAATCACTAAGATTATATTCTTCTTTCTTTACTGAAATAATAATAAGATCTCAGGGCTCAAAAAAAAACCAGAAAATTTTGGTTATTTGAGTCTTTTTATTATCTTAGTGTGGGTTTAGTTATTATTATTAGTGGGTATACATCTAATTTTTAGTTTCATCTCTCATGTAATCTCTGTAAGTTCTTTTGTTAATTAATGGTTAATCTACTTTGTTATTCAAAGTCTTTTTTTGTTCTGTTTTGCTACTCTCTAGTCTCTACACATAACTGACTAATTGAGTATATACTTTGGATATTATTTTGACAACTTACAAATTTTTTGACCAAGTTCTTTTTAATCTCAAATGGACGAGAAATTTACACAGCTGGCACGAACATCTCACGTGACGTGGGTACCCCAAACAACGTAGAAAATCTCCGTAATATTAAATATTTGGATTTGGAGTATCCAACAAAATTAAAGATTTTCACATGGCGATGCCGTGACCGTTCCAAGATGTCAACTCCATGGTGTTTCAAACAATGGAATCAAACATGCTTGCCGTTTCTATCCAAAAGTCTCCAACTCCTTTGAAGCAACCGTAAAAGAGTATAAGCAGAACATAACGATCAGACTCAAGAGGACCAAAACATGATAAGAAATATGACGAAATCATTCCGTGAGTTTTCATTCATCAGCTACATAAAACAGATAGAAGTATAGAACCGTCTCTTCTTTTTTATCACCAAACAAAAGAAACCAAAAATTCGAAAAAAAAAGGTAATGCTAATATCGACCGATAAGGATAAAATCATCATCATCAAGAGCCTGAACATCTTTTTCACCCACAAAATGCTCTCGTCCAATCTCTTTCACCAGTTTCACAAACTCAAGCCTCTTAGACAGTGGCAATGGTATATACGGTAACCTAAAAACTGGCCTTGACACTCCAAGCTGAGCCAAAGCAGTGTTAATTCCAATCGGGTTTGGCTCGTGGAATAGCCAAGCCATTAAAGGTAGTAGCTTTGAGTTCAAAGACGAATTCCTACCATCAAACATCAATTTCCTCATCAAACCCGGCACTAAATTACTAGTAACCGATATAACTCCTGTTGCTCCATAATCCCATCTCGAATCATGACACTCATCATCATTCCCACTCCACACAACAACCCCATTCTCAGTGTACTCTTCGACCCGCTTGTTCCCAACACATTCCTTCACACCGGCTAAATTAGGATTCTGAGAAAGTTTGAAGATGGCACGAGGTGGTATATCTTGCCCTGTTCGACCAGGCACATTGTATATAATCGTCGGTCCCATATGAAGAACAGATTGGAAATGTGCAATCAGACCCTCGATCGAAGTCTTGCCGTAGTAAGGGTTTATGTGAAGAGCAGCGTGCATTCCAACAGCGAATCCTTGTTCAGTCGCGTGGATTGCTTCTCTAGTCGAATTGCTTCCAGTGTTTCCAATGACTTTGATGCTTCCGCCAAAACAGTTAACGGTATGGCCTATAAGCATAATGTGTTCGTCCCAGCTCATCAATTGTCCTTCACCAGTTGTACCCCCAACAATGACACCTTCAACGCCGTTTTGTATCTGAATGTTCACTAAGTCATCGTATGCTTCAAGGTCGAATCTTCCATCAGGTAGATACGGTGTTTTGATAGCAGTGATCACACGTAGAGCTTTAATGTCGTCTGTGTTTGTCCTGACAAGCACAAAAACAAAAACAAGTCCAAAGTATGAAATAAACTTACAGAACAGAGAGTATATATATATATATATATGAGATTTTACAATCATTGACAATGTAACGTTGAATCTATGCCACAGACCTGTTTTTAACCTCCAAGCTGCGCATTGGGAGATGAAAATTGGGCACAACAGCTGCTTTTGGAGAGACCCATTTCGAGCTCCTTCTGTGTTATCAACACATTAAAAAGCACATAAGCTTGACTCAAATAGGCAGGACAATTGAATCATGGAGTTCATGTCTCAATGAAAAAAAAAAGCAAATTTCTTCATAAAACAGAACTCTTTATATAAGTAATAGTTTTTCAATTACAAACCACTACCATTCGATAGCAAATTGCAATTAGACCGTACACGCCAAAATCACCATTGAACTAATAGCTTTCAATCCTAGAACACTAGGATTGAAATTCAACTAGACAATGACTGACTATTCAAGCCAATTCCATAAATTATGATGCCTAGGTTCGATTGAGCAAAACGTTAGGAGAAAGAACCTCTTGTAGCCATTGGATAACTTTGGACAGGGGAATTGTAGTGCAGAGTCCATAGAACACAATCCATAACCTTTCAAAGCAGCCATCTTTCAAAACAAACCAAAAAGATATTTACCAAAACCTCCTTAATCACGACCGTCGTGTATGAAAACGTCACCGAAGCTGGTAATCAAAATCAGTTGGCGACGATGATGATACTAATAGTGTGAATACTTCCGATAATCGTTGAAAAGAGAACTGAAACAATGGAGCTCTGGTAATGGTGGCTGAGCATAATGAGGAAAGATTCCGATAAGATGGATTGATGTGGATTTGTTACAAAGACAAAGCGGCGAGAGATGGACGGACGAAGAAAATAAAAAACCTGCCTTAGGGTTTTTGTCTCTCTCTCTCCTCAGATATTGCCACGTGGGTAGTCATTTATACGTCGATTTTTGGTTTTTTTTTTAAGGATTTTATAGCAGCCTTTCGAAGACTTTTTAGCTAAAGATTTGATTAATAAAATTATGATTAAGGGCTCCATTGGATTATTATTATTAATCTTTTCCTAAGTAAGAATTCATGCAAGGCACGTTCGTATTCAAAAACGGTCCATCGTGACTGCTACCTGAATCCGACGAAAAATACACTCTGGTTATTGTTGTCTAGTAATACACTTTAAATTAAAGCTCTCGCTTATGAGCCCATAAGAGGCCCAAGTTTGACATATTATGACCAAACGGAAAGCACTATGATCATTATAAGCCCAATAGCTTTAATATTGCAGCCTCGAAGCCCGAATCATAGTTAATAACGGAATCTAATTTTTGATTGGTTTGGTACGGTTTATCACGGATTTTGTTTTTCCGAATGTCTATCTTCAAAACATTTTGTTTAAGAAAACATAGCTCCTTTCCACGTATATATAAACAAAATTAATTCATCTCCACACTTGACATAGTGACAGAACGAAAGATAGTCATCAATGTCATTCATTATACTCATTGAGCATATAAAACTATGGAAATTGTTGCATCAAGCGTCTAGCGAATATTTTCATTTTTTCAAAATCTTGATCCTTGTTATATAATGATAATTGTTATATTAGGACAACAAAAATGATAGGTTATATAAAATAAATGGTGGAGTGTGGTTATAAATGCAAAAAGAAAAAAAGAAAGTTAGAGAGAATGAATGATGGGCAAAGTGGGAGGGAGGTGGCTTTGGAAGTAAGGAACTCTCTCTTTCTTCTCACTTTCACTCATCGCCTCGTAAAGGAACTTTTCTTCTTTCTCTCTCAGAGACATGCACGTGCGTCGTTGCATCATCCAATGCTCTTCTCTTCCTCCACCTTAATTGCTTTCTCATCTCTCACTTACAAAACCCTACTCACACCATTTCTATATGGATACTTCCATCAAATCTATATCTATATTGATCAAGTGAGTTAGTCAATTATGTAATCATCATTTTCTTGTTCCAAGTTCTAGAATCCAATTCCTAGTAGACCCTTTTTACTAACAGAAAAATGATTATGAAAATCAATTTTGATTTTAATATTTGGATGTTATATACAAAGATTTTCGTGCAAATGTGTGAATATAAGTATCTGCCAAATGCAATCACCTTGTTCCCAAGTCTTGTTCTTGTCATTATGCCTCTTGCCTCACCATCTTCTTACCAACCTCGGAACAATCATCTTTTTCTCTAATTTGTCTTCCAACTTAAATAAATTATAAATATCTATATATATAGCCGTTTAATTTAAAACTAAAAATAACCGTTGTTAAATCTCAGAACAGGAAACAGTACAAACAATGTGATTTAGGAAAATGAGTTTAGAGTTTGATTAGTAACGGACTTGAAAAAATCATTTGGCCAAAAAAATAACGGAAGAAAATAACAATTTGACATTGTTAACCTGTTTAACCTTTAAATGAAATCACTTATGCACTATAATTCAGCATAGACGCAAAGCTAATTATCACCAACACATGAAAATAAAAAAACTAAAAAATCAACAATTTATAGTCTCCTAGTCAACGCAAAACACAAACCCCCTCTCAAACCTAAAAGATCGATCAATCCAATGACCAAAACGATTCTCTTCGATTCATAGTACCACGAATCTTCGTCAAAGGCTACAATTATCTTTAGAAAACAAAGAAAGAAAATTAAAATTTGACAGAGGAGTGATTATAAAATTAAAAACAACGAACGTATCTAACTTGTTTTTTTTTTCCGCGATTTAGAAAGATGGTCTCGGAGTTCCCCAATAAGCTTCAGCTGGCAATTGAACAGAATTCATAAGATTCGGAGGCAACCCTTGTATAAACGACGTCGGATCTTGCATCAACTGTTGTTGTTGTTGCTGCTGCTGCTGCGTCTGAGTCTGCGTTTGCGTCCCACCACCCATCGTTGCGTTTCCATCGATATTATTGGCAACCGCTCCAGCCGTTTGCTCTTCCTGATCATCTTCCTCTAACGGCAATCTCTCATACGCAGCGTTCCCAAACGAAGCTGCCATAATCACTACTGGTCCTGAAGCCATGAGTGGACCAACCACGCTTCCTCCAACGACCTGTCCCTGACCACCGGCTAAGTAAATCGTTAGTCCTGACGCAGCTGGTGGAGCCGGAGGGGGAAGGAAAGATCCCGAGAGAGAAAGAATCTCGAAACGTCCGTGTAAGTTAACGACAGATGAGCCACCACCAGGTACTGAAGCTGGTTGTCTTATGGTAACGTTGGTAACGGCGCCGTTTCCGCTCAAAACGCAGATGCCACGTTGGCGACGGCGAGCGAAGACGGTGACACTTTCCATGACGTCACATCCGTTTGCTACTTCCATGACATGAGATTTGAGAGCGTTTGCGCTGTCTCGAGTGATGATGATTGGTGGTTTTGGTTTGTTCTTGGATCCCGCTGGTCTGCCACGTGGCCTTCTCGTGATGTGATTGTCTCCTCCTCCTCCGCCGCCGCTTTCTCCACCGGAGCCAGGAGTGTTTTGATCTTTTCCGGCTGAAGAGTGCTCGTTGGGATCGATATCAGCGTCTCGGTCACGTTTTAGGCCACCGATTCGGTGCTGGTCGATATCGTGGCCGTGATTCTGTTGCTGCTGCTGCTGATGCTGGAATTGATGGTGCGGGTGAAGATGGAGATCTCTTGAGAGAAAAGGTGGAGGAAGAGAGCGAGAGACCTGATCCATTTCTTGATTCAAAAGCAAAAATAAAGTAAACAACTGAAAACCCTAATTAATTAATCTCCTCTTCTCATCCACTCAACTCAAGACCAGAAGCTTAGCTTGTTGATGTACAATAACTCAATTCAATTAATCAAAGAGTAAAAAATCGGAAGAAGAAAAATTAAGAGAAGGGAGATACCAAAGTCATATACATGTAAGATGAAACTGGAGCTGAACTAGTAATACATGAAAATAAAGCTTGTAAGAAGAAGGGGAGAGAGAGATGAGAGGAGAGGAGCGAGATGGGTTTAGGGTTAGGTCAGAGAGGAGGAGGAGGTTAAGGTTAAGATGAATGATGAATGGGTTTAGTTTTGGTTTAGATAGACAGCGTGCCGCATGGGCGGTGTGTGGGTCCTACCTACTGTGTCACTTTGTGGGCTCTACTTTTTTTTTTTTTTTTAATATTTCTCTTGTTTAGTTGTGTAATTTTCAGTTGTGTTTTGTCTCCCTTTAATTGAAAAACTAATAGTACAAGGTTTTTTTTTAGTCTATGAAAGTATTGGATGAGGTTTACTAGATATAGTCCATGGATGCGTGAGATTATATCAAACATTATAATGAACACACAAATTGAAGCGCACGAGTCTATATTAAATTAAATATGAAAGATGATACTAATTTTTTTTTTTTAAATGAAGCTGATGATGAAACTGATGCATATATGCATGATTTTGTAGGTGGTACATGCCTTAATGTACGGTATTTCTTACATTTTATCAATTCACGAGTCTTAATGTACGGAGTATTATGTTTCTCGATGTAACGGTAGAGAACATTAAAAAAAAAAAAAACAATTTAATACGCACACATTCAAAACTTATAAAGCAATGGGAAAAAACTTAAAATCTTCAGTAGTCAGTACAAAAATATGGGTACTGGGTAGAATCAGGAAGCCTAACACCTTATCTATAGTTTGGTTTCCTTTAAAAGTCACTTACATAAATAAAATAAAATCATACTATGTTGCGGAGAGTCAGTACTAATTTTGTGTTTACGTACGTATGATAGGATAAATTTAAATTAAACAACCATTAAGGAATAAGACTCCATTCCACAATGCATATACTTACAGAGGATTCGTTGGGGTTATTTGCAGAAAAAAAATACATATAATTGTTTATTTGTTCTCACATACAATTGTTTTTATAAACAGAACAAATATTTTTAATAATATACTACATGTGTCTGCATATGTATGTACGTTAAGACTAATTAAAGTGCATGAAAGTTAGCGACAAATAATAAAGAGTTGAAAACTTGAAATGGAGAAAAGAAGCTGAAAATGTGAAGAAGAGACGTTATTGTGGTTGGATAATTACAGAACTTGTTTTAAATATCTTAATTAAAATCCAGCAGAACAACTTAATTGTATATGAATATACATACTGTGCCTTATTATATTTTGTGAAATATGGATACTGTTATTTTACTCAATCAAATTTTAATGTACTCTCTGCAAACTTATAATTTAATAATCACATTTTTCATTTATTTTCACGATTGCAGTATCACACGATATTAGTCATCTAAGTGCAGTGCCGGTCAAAACATTTGTGAGGTCCTACACGAAAAATAAAATGAGGTCCAATATATTTATAAGTTTTAGGGCTAAATTTTTTTTTTTGACCTATTTTTAGTAAATTATACAAAAATAATGATATTTTGAATATTATTACATTCAAATTTAATTGTTTGGGCCCTATTTTATTTATTTTTTTCGAAAAAGACTTTAGTTTCTACCAAATATTTTCATTTTATGGGCCTTTTTACCAAAAAAAAAAAAAAAAAAAACTTTAGAAAAAAAAAAAAATTGTGGTGCCCCAAGCCACCGCTTGGGTGGCCTGTCTTGCGGGCCCGCCCTGTCTAAGTGAAAATTATGTATACGAAATAGTATATTATTGTGTTTGGTATTATTATGTTGGGTTTACACAACATCAATTGGTTTATTCATTAATTAATAAAAAATACACTTTCAACATCTGCTTGAATTTGTATTCATTGTCTAATCTAATTCAACTAAAAGAATGTGGAAACGTTAATTTTCAACTTCTTAAAATTTATGACATCCGGAAACTGTTGCACCCAGTGGCGGACCCAAAAATTAATTTTACCCGGGTCAATAATTTTTCTTAAATAATATTATATAATTTATTTTATATTACATAAACACTTTAAAATTATTTTCATAAGCAATTAGAAAAGGTATATAAAACACTGTGGTTTTTAAAAGAATTAAAAATATATAAGAGGAAAAAAACATGTATATATAAGTTAAATTGGTAAAAAACTAAATTAAAGTTGCCAAGGTGGAGAGTCGAACTTAAGTTAGGAGGACTAATATCCTGAAACTTACCAACTGAGCTATTAGTACTTACAGATTTTATATGCAAAACAACTATTTAATTATTTTACCCGGATCAGGTGACCCACCTACTCTCTAAATAGGTCTGCTCCTGGTTGCACCAGTTTGAAAGTTACCAATTAGACAGTTCAAGAAGAACTGACTTAAATTCCTTTATTTTCAGCCGATTCCTTTTTTTCTTCTGGCTTTTTAGCATAAAGCAAGTTACTAGTAGTAGTAGTATACTAATATTCAGAGATTAATTATGTATGTTGGGTCGATAATAAGGCAGATTTAAGCTCGTAAATCGCGTAAGCTTGGGGAAAAACTAAAGAGACAGGAAGTGGAGGAAAGAGAAGATGACAGACGCGTCAGACGCCGTTGGATGTTTGTCCCCGTCGGTTGCGATGCCTTCACGTAACAAGACCAGCCAGCGAGGACCAGCTCACACTCGCACGTGCAGCCGCTGACACGCGTGAAGGATTCATTTAATGTAAACTAAATTTACTTAAAACATTGACTCAGTTGATCAGGATATGCCTGAAGATCAGAATAGTGGCTTTCACGTCACGATGGGGAATATTTTAGGTCACCAACGGGTGGTTTTTAACAAAAATTCACCACTCAAAATGATTACCTTAAAATATGTCAAAATCGTCAAATTTCCCAAAATATGTAAGCTTCTTCAGTTCTTGTTCTCACCCCACCAATGTAACATTCTCCCGGACAAGACATCTCAAAAAGTGTTTGACAGTCCACTTCTCATTACTTTCTTGTTTTCGACTTTATTTGTCTTATATAAATGCTTTTTTGTACAAATGTTTAGAATCATGTATATATATAACTAAATAAATAATTGAGGCTGTGATAAGAAAGAATCTCAATTAATTCTATATGCAAAAAGAAAAAAGAAAAAAACGAATCGCTGTTACATACCTATATAAACAGCTCTGGATTCGATTATGATTCTACCATGCTTAATAAAGTGGAGATTTAATAAATGTTAATTTCATTACCGGATAGTACTTAATTAATGTTGGATATTATACCGAAAGTTTCATGAAGCTTGTTAAACGTTGGGCAGTTAGACCAGCATTATAAATTACAATCTCTAAATTAAATGAGTTTTGTTCTTTTTAATGTATATCTAGCTTACTATTTGTATGTGATTCATTAATTATGTCGGATTATATATTAATAATACGGCGTCCACGTATAAAATTATGTATACATATATACTCTCTCTGTTTCATAATAAATGTCGTTTAAGGTTTTTGCACACATATTAAGAAAACAATTAAATTTTCTGTGTTATCCATTATCTATAAATTTTATTATTTTTTTATTGGTCAATACATTAAATTAGTATGGACAAAACTGAAAATTTTACTAAACGTCTGTATTGAAAACACAAAACGACACTTATTTTGAAACAACATTCAAATGGTAAAACGACTTTAATATGAAACGGAGGGAGTATATATTACTATACACATCACTTACAAGTTTCATAATGTCTACCAAAAGGTCCTTTGCTTTTGTTTTCTTCTTGATTATATTCCACATAATAAACATGATATATAAAACAATATCAATCAAGATGATAAAACAAACAAGGTATTATAGATATGATGATTGGGGAACAACATTGAGCAAATTCCTCAGTGTATATATATACAACTATAATGTTAATAATGTTAATCCCATTTTTTCATCATAACGTCCATGAACATATGTCATTGATCTAGGGACGTTTCGGCGATCACCCGATAAAAATCCAAACAAAATTTATTTGTATTTTTTTCTTTTGCTATTCCATATACAAAAGGAAAGAAGTTATATATGTATGAGGTATCTTAGATCACACTACACTGAGTTAATATAGAATACGAATTCATATATTGCTCGTGTAATTTAGTAATCACGAAGAGAGAGAGAGGGAAGAGTAATGTATGTGTTTGACCGCATGGGAAGAAGAGAGAGATGTAGGTTGAATCTGAAACCAGGACGTGTGGGCGTGATTCTTCCCTTTCCCACCCATCCCCCGCGGATCCCGCTGACACCCGACCCGATCCTATCCGGGTGGGTTGACATCGGACTACCCACTCGCATCTCACGTTTTTTTGTCTTCACTTGATATCCAATCAGGAGGGGCCATGTGGCTCTGAAACCCATGTTAAGATATTCTACACTAATTACTCTTCGAAAAACAAAATCTGCAACCATTAATTCACTTGGATCATTACTCACTAAAGCCTAATTAACATGTTATGTAACCCTTTTTCCTTGTTGATATCAAGAAACTTGAGAATAACTAGACATTTGGACTCTTGTGTGTATAATCTCTTAGCTCAGTGAATTGCATATGCTCATTAATGTTCATATCTTACTTTTTCCTATTCTCTATAAAGATATTATTTAAATCAAATTGAGATAGCTTTAAATGAAGATGCAAATCAAATTATTTCCACTATAAAATCGAATTTTAATCTGTGTTAATTTATTTGGGATGTAATTGACCATATAAGTCATAACCAGTTAATATTTTCAAAAAGCTACGGATTGTTGTGTGTATTGTCTCTTAACTCTGTGTTTTAATAAACCAATACAGAGATGTCAAAAAAAAAAATACTAAACCAATACAGCATAACTGTATCGAATTATATAAAGAGAGTAAACTAATATTTTCGTATTTCCATATTGCTAAATCAAAGACCAGTATCCATTTATAAGTATATTTTATTTTGATGGAAAAAAGGAGAGGCATTTGTTTTTCTTGGTCTAATTATTTTCTTATTAGAAAAATGTGTAGTCTTAAATTTTAGTCTATAATTACGTATATATGTAGTCTCTAAAAATGAAATAATTTCGTAAGAAAACGAAAAAAAAACATACGCATTTGCATGCAGTGTTTTGTTAATAATTATTGGCAAGGTATATTAGAAACTTTGTACCGTTTTGTTTTGGCAAAAATTTATAAATATTGATTTTTATCAAAAAAAAAAATTATAAATATTGTAGGAAATATATAAATATAAAATATATATTCAGACAAGTGGAAATGAAAAAGTTAATGGTTGATTAATGATAGATAAGGACGGACGTGTAATTTAGACAAAAACCAAACATAGCTCGATGCAGTTTTTGGTACCCAATATATCTACTTCGTAAATCCACATCGGAATTTGTCATATATGCTTTGCTTTTGGATATGTGGCCTTATGTCATGTAATATATAACTCGTATATGAAAAGGCACTCTAGCGTAAGGACATATAACGATCGAATTATTTGAATATTAAAGTGGCAATAGACAATTTCTTTATTGCTATATGTAGAAAGACAAAAGATATAGTCATCTATTGAATTATTTATAACAAGATATTACTAAATGTCATTTTCTAACCTAACAATCAAGTTGGTGTTTATCATCACCTTATTATCGTTCGTTTAAATCTTGTATACTTTTCCATAATCTCCCGAGACTTAACTCTATTGGAAAGTTCCTTTTTTTTTCTATCTACGAAACAATTTAACCTCTGAAATCAAGATAATTGATCCACTATCTCTGTAATTATACGAACCACCCAAGATTATTTATATATTGAAATAAAAAAACGTAAGGTAAAAAGAATGGACCACAGCCGAGGACCGAGGTTGTCATGTGGTGGACAGCGATTTAGTTAGAATTATTAATTAAGAATTATCTTTTATCTTCTTTTGAAACGAGCATATGCCTCGAGAACTCGGTGCCAAAATGTCAACGATTCTCTTAACATCAACTTAAGCATCAAAGCACGACGCATTTGGACTATTTAATTAAGCTAAATTACAACCATAATCTTCTTATTAATATTTGTTTATGTTCTGCGGGCGTTGATTATGGTTCTTAATTACTTATTTAAATGATTAAATCGATGGTAGAAACAATCCTCTGTTCTCCTACAACATTTTATTCATTTGCAATATATTTTTAATAGAAGAAAACTAATGTTCAAATTATTAAAAAAATAATATAAAAACGGATGATGAACGAGCTGAAAAAAACGAATGATGAACGAAAATGAAAATGTATCTATATATGTAGTTATAATTGTTGAAATTTTGTTTGATAAGTTATTTCAAAAAGTAATTACCACGATAGTCTTTTGAAAAACAAAGATTTACGTCCGACGGTTGGTTTGCTATGTATAGGAGACTTTAAGGATTTGTTTACCGACCATACAAATCACAACATGATATTTCGCGGTGTTTTGTCCTCACTGACATGGTTCCAACAATCACTTTTCAGAAAGACATTTATCATGAAATTGCTCTATTTCAAGCACGTTTAACTGTGGAGTGTTTGAAGACGGTTGACCAAAAAGATAAGTGTATTTTGATGAAATAGATGGCCAAATCAATTTTTTAAAACCCTCCGCATGCATGACCAAAATTGAATACATGGGACGAAAGTAGTATCACGATTACAACCATATCTGTAAGTTTCAAAAAAAAAAAATTATTTCGGTTAATTGGTTAGTAGTTAATACTACTTCACTGGTACAAATAAACTAGTTTATTGGCTTACAAAAACTGATGATTCTTTTCTTCAGAAAAAGAATCAGAGAATGGATATACTTGTTATATTATTTTGTAAACTTTTATTGTAGTGGCTAAAATATTCAAGTCTTTTTTTTAAGTACTTAAGTTTATGATAGTTTTGTAGAGATTATGAAAAATAAATTTGTAATAAACATAAATAGTTGAAATGTTAATATCAATTAACTATCACAATAACAAACGGAGAGAGAGAGAGAGAGTCAAAGTTATACAAAAAAATCAATCTATGCAAATATGGAGATAAAAGTACATTTTATATTATGTCCCGATTTATAGATGCAAATATTTTACAGGAGGGAGCTCCGACATGTAAGGAAGTGCAAGCTTTGTTATTATAATCTTGTAAGAATTTGATAATATGCAACAAAATGATTGCTTTTGATATCGCGTAATATTAAAATATCGTGCATGAAACGAAATAAGAAAATAAAAAGTGAGTTCGATAACGAAATTAACAGTATTATATATATATATATATATAGTTAACTAATAACTAGGTAGCTTTCTATATAACTATATCTATATGAATTAAAAAAAACGCTTCACCTTTTCTTCGGCTTATTCATATAGATTTTATAAACGAATCCCACGTACACGAGCTCCTTTCTATAAATCAATTGAAATTTCCTGTCATGTATACGCGCGTACTAAAACATTGATTTTAAGCATTAAAATACCATTGATTTGTTAATTTAAGTTGAAATTTCAACTTATATATTACCAAATGACATTCCATTCCCCAGACATTGCAATCTATACGTCTACGATTAATCGACGGTTTTTCTTTGGTTTCTTACTTTTCTTTTATGTTTGATTTTAGAGTGTTTGACTATAATTTAAAAACTATTTACATATGTCTCTTTAGTAAAACTTAATTTTGATCGATTACACTAAAATCGTCAAGACCAAAAAATTTCAAACACTTATACAAGTACTGTACAACAGCGTTAAAACATCCTCACCAGGATTTTAGAATCTTGAAAAATATCCACTACCAATTTTATTTTAGATAATTACCCATCATGCCCGTGAAGATTATCATACGACATGTACACTCTTATATATATATATATATATATACCAAATGACAATTTCGTAGGTATATCTTTAACATATAAGAAGTCTATTTTGTTGGAGTTTTTTTTTTCTTTTAGATAAAGGTTTTTCGTTTGAAATCGCAGTTAGAAAAATAATGTTACATAGCTCAATTTGCTAAAGTCAATTAGTTGAACCAAAAAAAGACCTTTATAAAGCTCAACCAAATCCATTAGGAGAGTATTAAAACTGGCCTAAGCCTAGGTCCAGGCCCAATAGAATGTAGGACGAGTACGAATGATGTAGCATCAACAAAGAGAGAGACCATTAACAAATAACAAAATACAAAACAACACAATACAACTTAAATTGATACTGGTGAATCCAATCCCGTGGAATTCTCTCATATGAAGAAAGAATATAACAGAAACATAAATCTGTTAGTGAGTAAGGATTTTTGCCGAGAAGCATAGTGTAAATTCACTTCTTCAGATTAATTTGTCATTGCGCTCTTTGCAAATGTTGATGTATGTGTAATTCATCCTTTAATTTATTATCTATGTTATAAGTTTATAACTCTGTAATTTACTCTCTTTTTTGTTGAAATGTAAACATTATTTCTCAACAAAAATGGTTTATATTCAAGAAAGAACGAAGATTTAAATAAATTGCGAACCCTGTAATTTACTTTTCTTCATAACGACGCACATATTTTGTGGGGTTTTAAATTTGAAGGATTCAAAAAGGCTTGGGAAAAAAAAAATTAAAAATTGAAGGTCGATAATGCCCACACTAACGAAAGGGCCTTGCGAGAAAATGCCAGAGGCGAAATTATGAAGATATAGGAAACGTATGACTGAGGATATATTTACGTACATTCAAACTTAATACGTAACATTAGTGAAAAAATTAAAGGCAAAGAAGAAATACTCGTCAGAAAACGAAGGGAAAATACAGTAGTAATACAAATTTAAATGTTAGAAAATTTATAATCAATATTCCTTACAACATTTCAAGAAAATTAAATCTTATTGAGTAGTAATTTAATTTTCCTAATAACAAAGGGGGAGATGTATTTGATCAAAACCAACTCATCTAGACATAGTTCGAGACGGCGAATCGTCTGTAGTGGCCGGTGGAGGAGATCCTTGTCTATGGAGGAGTTCATGTGCTAATGCTTGAAGGTCCTGACTGTTTCCACCACCGAGCCCCGCGGCGACAGAAGAAGACGACGATGATACACCGTATTGGTGACGTGGGTCAATGAATCTTCGTTGTTGCGTGGCCCACGCCGAAGAAGACGTCGTTTGATCGAAGATGGATGCTAAATCGTAGGTTGAGGGTAAGGGTGAGACTGATGCAGGTAAATCAGTTATGGCAAGAGGCGGAGGAGGAGTAAAAAAGAGCGGTTGCGGCATAGGCTGTGGCCGCGTTTGCGGTTGAGGTAGCTCTAGTGATGCCAAATGGGCTTGTAAGTAAGAAACTTCTGCCTGTAGGTTCACCACCTATGTATACATTTTACGAATTAGATAAAGTTTTACTGTTTTAGCATGATATGTAAATATAGGTTTAAGGACTAAACCTGTAGTTTTCTTGTAATTACGTAAGAATGCGATTAATGGCTTTTATTGCAAATATTATACAGTTAATTGGATCATTGAAATCTCCATCTCTTACAGTAGTAGTTTGTATACGCTTAACGTGATAGCTTAATTATCCTAAAAATAGTTTTATTTTTTATTTTTTATTTTGAGCTATTTTTAAAATTCTGATTTCATGTATTTTTCACATTTCTAAAAGTTTAAGCACTTAGATTTTTTATTCACCTAGCTTGATTAACTTTAGCCTTCAGAAATGGTTGATTTGTTAATGCATGTTCGATTTGTTAAGGTTGTTAGGCCACAAATTACGTAAAGTTTAACATAAACAGTGACACGCATCATATAAGATTCAACCCCTTATTACATAGTTAAAAGTTAATAAATCCGAAGAAAAAAAAAAAGAAAAAAAAAATTATACCCCTACAAAAATTATTTATTTTCACCTTTCATAAGAAAGAAATTTTTAGCTAGTGAAAAAAATATTTTGGTTATATACGTTTCAACACAGAAAATTGTACCCGACCAATTCCCGAAAACCAGCAAAACAAAATTCCATAATTTTGCAATGGGACTTGTCACGACCGTATCATTTTTATATAATTGCATAATACATTAAATTAAAAGATCTCATAAGTAATCAACTAGACAACCATGCTTTTTTTTTCCTTTATACTCAAAGTAAAAAACTGCAAAACCAAGAAAGCTCAAGAAAGTGACAAACTCTCGGAAAAACTCGATTTCATTTCATGCACACCACAAAAAAATTGTTCATACTAAAACGAATTTGCATGAGTTTAAAATTATAGATCATTCCCAAACGAAACCGAAATTTGCTACTTTGGAAAGGAAAACAAAATTGTAACTGTCATCAAAATAGTTTGTGGTTAGTTTAAGTCGATTAGTAGTATGCTTCACATATAGTGATTTCCAACGCATTTTACTATTAACAAAAAGTATAATAAATTACTTAATTAATTACCTGTTGCTGAAGAGCAAAGATGTGAGCGACGCAACCATAGATAGGATCCCTTATCCTAGCCTGAGCTTCATAGCAAATTGTTACGACAGCATCGGACCTTCGATGAACCGGTATGTGTAAGAGAAGCTTCGAGACGTTACTGGCTCCGAACACTTTATGCACCGCCGCAAAATAAGCCGAGCCTTGCTCGGAGTCAAAGTAGGGTGCAAATATACATCCCGGCACACACTTCCTCCTTAGAAACTTACAAGCACCACATGGCCCACCACCACCACCGCCACTACTTCCTCCTCCCCCAGTGCTGCCTCCTCCACCACAACCACCACCTCCGCCTCCCACGGCAGTGACTGTGTTCCCACCACCGCTCATGACCGGCCACCCCACAATTAACGAGTTGTTACTCTATCTCCCTCTCTATTGTGTTTAGGGTTTAAATTTGTCGAGAAAAAAATATGGAGATTATGTTTGGTGTTGTAATTTGAAGAAGAGAGGAAGATTTGAGAAAAGGGAATCAAGAGAGGAGAATTAGGGTTTGGTAAGAGGAGAGTACAGAGAAGAAAAGTCTTTAAAGCCACGCGACGACAAAGCTAACAAAAAACAAACGATCTCTCTCTATTTTCTCTTTCTCTCTCACATTTAGTTGTTTGCGTGAAGCAAACATGCGATAAGCCTCTTCTATTATTCCTTTTCATAATCTTTAACTACATAATTATATTATTTATAAATTAAAAGATGAATAAAAGGGAAAAATTGTTTGATTTTCTGTATCCCTTGGAACATCTCGTGATAAAAAAATTATTTTCCAAGAAAAATAAATTTCTTGTTTTCTCTTTATTTGCTATGAATTTACATGTGATTTGTAATTGTTTGAGATATCTCACGAATTTAATTACGTACAAGATGGATAAATAAAAACATTTTATATCCTTACAATAAGTTTTTAAACTATGACTTGACGTCCAACTCATTAAATTAGGCTGTAACCATTAAGAAAATAGTATAATTTCTTCCCAAGTTTGATAGGCAATGATTTCGATTTTCCATAATTTGTATTATCAGAAGAAAAATGCAAAAGCGTATACGTAATTGATGAAATGCCTTTTTAAGGAAATTTATAAGAAAAAAATCGTAGTGTTGAAATTGTTAGTTAGTTACGCTTAGAGAATGAATGACTCGATGGCCAACTTATCTTTTATAAAAAGAGGATTAACCACGTTAAAGCAATCATTCCCATATTTATTCATGTTTTCATTTAGTAATTCACGTTTCCCTTCGATAATTACAACTTTATGAATACGATTCCGGTTAAGAAACGAGATCAGAGTGAACCGGGAGGCAATATGTCTAAATTTCTCGGTTTGCAATGGAAACAAAACGTAGTTACGTGTACCAATAAGAAAGGTACACATGGCAATAATGATTGTAACTGCCTAGCGAGTGAAAGATCAAAGAAACAAATGACGTCATTCTTCACGTGGGCCCCACGCGCCGTTCCCTTTGAAAGTTATTTGTAACGCCTCTTTGCTTCCTCATTGTCTCCACGCGTATATCAAATCTTAAATGTGTAATATCTTCCATTTTATAAGTAAAAAAAAAATGAAATTGGTTGTAATAACAAAAATAATACTCTCTGTTTTTCAAAGAATGATGTTTTGGATTTTTACAAAAAGTAAAATTTATATTTTTTATTATTATTTTTTACTATTTCTCTCCTCCTCTATTGGATTCAAATGAAAGTAATAATGATGTTTCTACAAAACATCAATCTTTGTGGAACAAGATAAAAAATTAAAACATCAAACTATAAAGAATAGATGGAGTATAATTTTAGTGTTAAAGTAAATAAAGGAAAAATAAATGAAAAGCTCTTGAACTTGAGAGTTTCATATTCAATTTTTAGATTTAGGTAAAAATATGGTCGACCATAAAATTTGTTTTGGGCATGAATGCATGAGGCAAAAGACAATTCTTGCTATAATAAATTATATTCTTTTTTTTTAGTGATTGATTAGTCATAAACATCGTCGAGTTATATAATAGCGTAATAAATTAGAGATGAGATAGTGTAGGATGTGGAAGTGACATGGTACCTCAAATCTTGGGGATATATGTACAGAATGATCGACCATTTTCGATCAAACATAAATTATTTTAGTTCACTTAGGTTGTTTCTTTATATTATACTGGCCCATTATGTAGTTAATTCTGTATTAAATTATCATTTATCACTTTGCTTTTGTTTCTTTTGTTGATGAAACTTTTTCTTCCACTCGTGCAGTCAAGCCCTAAATCTAACATTCTCGTCGAATTTGGTAAGGAATATAAGGATTATATATATCTGATCTGTCTTACAATTTAATAGACGTAATTTAAAATTTGTATATTCACACATGCGTTATTTAACTCATATGTACCCTATTATTATTCCTTTGAACTCTAAAATCCACCGGTCAATATCTACTCAAAAATATTATTAGAAAATTATACGGTGTCGCCAAAAAACAAGGCACAGCGATTGATTTAAGAGTTTAAGTGGGAGCTGATGACACAATTATACTAATCTTTTATTAAATATGCTTAATGTTTTAGCAAATGTTATCAGTACAATACAATCTACTTAGTGTATCTTGACCCGGTTGGTCACTTACTCATAGCAGCTATAAACTGTATTTTTTTTCTTGGTAATTATTTGTAAGAATTTATCGTAAAATATATGTATCGGACTAAGTTTTTCGATCGTTTCAAACAAATATGGGTTACAATGAAACTTTTGCTCCAAAACATGTACATGTAGCCTTTTAGAATAAGTCATCAGGAATTGAAAATCTAGCTAATAGCCTAATACTAATTCAATATGTATTCGGAATGAATTGTTAAAGTTTCCATTGTTACACGTTAAGTAATTAAGGCCAACCGACTTAGTCGATTAGTGATTCGTCTCCGTGTTTCATAAACTGACAAATGATTCCTTAAAAGTAGAAATGTTGCCTTGAATTAAATATAGATTTGAAATTTTGTATATGTTTAACTAAATTATACAGTAATTATTAAATTATATAAACACAATCCCAATATTCTTATAACTTGTTTATGTAACCACAAACACAAAAACACACGCACACGCATACATATGAGATCAGTTTAAGTCCAATTGATGGAAAATAATAAATGGCTAACTGGCAAGAAATCATGTACTATATAGAATTCATAATTACTTAATTTCTTAAAACTATAGAATGAAACTTAATTTGTTTGGCCCCTGGTCGGATAATTTTCAGACAGTGGTTGTATATTAGACGTAAGACAGTTTCGATCTATAGATCTGGTCGCCAGTTCAAATTCGACAATATTTTGGTCAAATCTCAAAATTCCTTATTATTTATTTCGCAGTACGTCATCAGAATTTATGGGCCTTTATAATGATAATGTAGAAAAATAAAAGTATGACTATATATGTACAACAGAAAGATTTGAAGAGATCCTTTAAGTAAATTGTACTAATGATCAATGAAAAAAAAGAGTTTATAGTGTGTAATTGTTATAAAAAAATAAAAAAACGGAAATTTTGTGCATGTTCGAAATAAGAAAGTTTGGGGCGTTAAACTAAAACATTTGAGAGTTGAAGGGGCTGGAAGTGGTGGCTAACGATATGTAGAATAGAGTAAAGAGATTGATGGATTAGCAGACAAGGAGCCGAACGGCGCGATTCTCTTCTCCAACGCTCCGCTTTCCTACTTACTATTAATTACGTTTATGAATCTAGTATTATGGATGCTGAAGATGTCTTTTAAAACATTTTCTACGTTGAATTCAATATTTGAGAATCCTCAAAACCAATCAGATAAAAACAATATAATGTCTCAAGTCCGGGCAGAAGAAGAACCATTGAGCATCGGCGGATCACTTAAGTACTACTAGATATCGAATACCTCAAACCATATTAGTAAGGAATATTTTAGATCAATGTAAGGTAGTTTTTTGTTTAGCTTAGGGCCACAAGTTCGACTATCATAATCTCTCTCTCTATATATGTTAACTAATGGTTAATCTTAAATTATTCGGTTAACAAGTTATTTTGGATGATCTATTTTAAACATGTCACTAATGTATGTATCTTTTAGAATAAAGCAGCATGCATATAAATTTTTAACTAAAAGAACTTTGGTATGATGTGATTTTTGTATATATTTTTGAGGGATTGTTAACTGAATGTAAAAGTGGTTTTGCAAAAATGTCTGGTTGGTAAAAATCCGTATACTTAGACTACTATCTTGTCAAATTACGAGTGTTCAAACTTCAAACCAATCAGATGCAATACAAGTGTTAGACCATAGATGCAATAAAAAGGTTTTTTATAGGCTCACTATTAGAGAAGGGATGGTGAGGTAAGTGACTGAATGCTTTTAGGTCCATGGGTCAGTGAAGTCATAGAGGATGTGAGTTATGCCACGTGTCTAGATCTTACGACGTGGCTTGTTTTGTGTAGTGATCTGAGAAGCAACGCGTACAAGCGGTTTCTCCTTCGATCGCAACCGTCGATTCTGTTCGCCTCTTTGACTGAAAATTCGTTGAGAACAATTAAGTTTCCTCACTCGCCGCATTCAAGCGCGTCCTTTTCACTGTTTCCTTTTTACACATTCTTTTTTCCTGCATGGTTGATAGAAATGGATTTTAAATTTCTTGAAATTTTTTTGAACTTTGCTAGGTGAGTTTGGTTTGGTTCGAAACTAGTTTTGATTAATAGTATTTAAAAACCCTTGTATTTAGAACCGGTTTATATCGAGGTTTTGCTGATTTGTTGAGCTACCTTTATTTGTTAATCGTATGGAAGAGTTTCTTGATTTTTTTGTTAGAAATTCCTGCACTAAAATGAAATTTCTCATTAAATTAAAAAAAATTTTAGAAACACTAAAAAGTGAAGACTAGATCGAAAGTGAGTTATGTCGGGTCGAACAGAAACAAAAGGAAGAAGAGGAAATAAAGAAGGTTTGGATTTTCAAATCTCTCTGCACGTATACTAATCACTTTGACCGTGATTGTGATAGTGGAGAATGGAGAAGAGAGATATTATTAAGCTGTCTTGTCTCACTTACTTACAAATGCTATAAACTTATTGATACTTACATGGTTTTTGTGTTTATGTGTGTTTCAGTGTCAATTGTTCATCCGCTACGTACGTTTGTCGCAGTCCGGTTTAAACCAACCCTCCTGATGATATGCTGTTATATATAGGGTTATGGTCTGAATCAGACATTTCATGATCTCTCCTTCCTACATTTTCCATGTCTATGAGTTCATGTGGGGATATCTATACACAAACTCAAATCTGTCCATATGCTGATATATATATATATATATATATATATGCACAGATGTATACGTAAAGAAAGAGAGTGAGTGTGACAAGAGAGATGTGATAGCATGAAAAGAAATGTGCATGGGGAGGGGCCGCTAGGGCTAGAATACATGTACGTAATTTTTGAAGAAAAAAAAGCAAAGGGGTTTAAGGTTATGTATCTGCATTTTAGCTATATGAAATCGATCACACGTGGTATGTGCAATTTGATATTGATCTTCATCATTGCGTGTAGATCTTTATAACATATATTTCAACTGATTATATAATCTTGTGAATAATTGTCTTTGCTATGCTTTTGTTTGGTTTAACTCATACACTAAATATCTATAACATGTTAGCCGAGATCATTTATAACATCGAATTTTGGAACCCATATTAATTGTTCATACGAAGATATATTAGAATTATAGTATACATGAGTAGTATTCACGTAAAGACCAAAAAATAAAAAAGAGTATGAAATGAATAAATAAGCGGCCGATCATTCAATAGTATACAGAAACTTACATTGATAGTCAAAACCCAAACACTTTTCATTTATTATAAATGTTGAAATTAGTTCATCGAATTAGCCTGATGTAAATAATCTCCTTCTCTCTATATATCTCTTCCTCTCTTCCTCTCTTCCTCTCTCTTTTTTTAACTTGATGATGATGACCGCAAACTTGAACGGCGGTGGAAGAGGAGGAGGGGAAGGACCATGCGGGGCGTGCAAGTTCTTGAGGAGAAAGTGTGTGAAAGGGTGCGTTTTCGCTCCTTATTTCGATGCAGATCAAGGAACTGCGAGATTTGCAGCGGTTCACAAAGTGTTTGGAGCCAGCAATGCCTCTAAGATGTTACTGAGATTGCCTTTGCACAAGCGACTTGATGCAGTCGTCACGCTCTGTCACGAGGCCATGGCAAGGCTTCGTGATCCTGTCTATGGCTCTGTTGGCCATCTCTTCTCTCTTCAACACCAGGTCCTTCATGAGAACCATCTTTTATAACACAAGTGATTATATATATAGAAACTTACAAGCAAGACTGTGTGTGTATTTAGGTGATGAATCTACAAGCAGAGCTTGCTCATGTTCAAGCTCTTCTTTCAACATTTCAGCGTTTTCCTCTACAATCGCCACAACAAATGCAGCCACCGCCTTTTGATCTTGCGCATAACAATGAATATACGATGGAACCGAGTAATTTGGATGGTGTGTGGGAAGAAGAACATTTACTTCAAGATGGAACTGAAGATGGGGATTTCCAAGAACTGGCGTCGCAGTTCGTCTCAAGGTATTTACCGGCGGTCAAACTTCCGGCTTGCACTTAGGTCAAACTACAAGTCAAGAACTTATGTATTATAGCAATGGAGAGTAGAAAAAAGGGACATGTCTCTGTTCCCAATAGTTGACCATTCCGCTTAAGATCATGATATAGCTAAGTATGTATGCCTGTTAAGAGTTCAAATTGGTTCTTGCATGGAGTGTTTCTTCGACAAAACATCAGATCATGGTAACAGAGCAAACAATGAAATGCTTATCGAGCATGGAATATACTGTGTCTTGTAGAGAGAGCTTATATAATGCCCTATATAATGAAACTAAGGTAGAATCATAAAAAGGTAACGCAGAAACAGAACCTGTTTTAGGGGAATTTGCCAAGAGATTAGAAACAGAGTCCAAGAAGAGAGACAATTCACTACAAACAGAGAGATTGAAAATAACATATCAAATCTTTTTTATGAAATAACTGCTAACACCATAAGCTCACTATGATAACAATTTCAATCCAAGATTAAAGCATCAGAGGCAAACTTATATTACGATTGTTAATGAATAGTGACATTTAGTGGAGTTGGAAAAATTTGTAGTCCGTTAAGATTTTATATCTCTTGTATATACAGTATAATTTAACATTCTTTCTCATTAATCAGATAATATTCTTTACATGCGCTCTTACCTCAATTGTTTCTCTCTGTTCTTGATTATGACTCGAAACTGCTAAAATTCTTACAAAACATTGTTCAATATGAAAGTAGCCGTTTATGAGATCTGGAAACAGAGATATTCGAGACTCCATCGTCACAAATCCCGGTTCCCATCTTCAGTGATCATGCCCAATGAAGTTCCTACATTTGGATCAATGATCAATGGATGTTGTAGAATTTTGCTATATATAAAAAAAATATTCATTATAATTTCGTATGTAATTCTTTAATTAGTTTTAGGGTAAAAGCTCTCATATATATTTGGCGCTCAGAAACCCTAGATTAAACCTTCCATCCCAAGGCATGAGAACAATGACAAAAAAACAAAAAAAGACGAGGAAATTTCTCCGAAGTCGTTTTCGGCTTTACCATACGACGTTGTTCTCAACTGTCTGTCTCGTGTCTCAAGAACCCACGATCCAATTCTATCTCTCGTATCCAAGAGTTTCAGATCACTCATCGCTTCGCCTGATCTCGAAGCCGCACGATTCCGCATCCTAAAAACCAAGAGGTGCCTCTATGTCTGCTTAAAACTTAATAGCAACCATAACCCTAGCTGGTTTTCATACTTTGTCAAACTCCTAAACATAAACTGATACCACTTCCCTCGTTTCCTTACCCACATCCTAATTGCTCAACTGTTGTCTCTACTGGTTCAGAGATTTACATGCTCGGCGGAGGAGGAGGAAGCTATGAAGTGTTACAATCATTTAAAGTTGAGAAAATACACGAAAGCAACTACTGTCAAGTCAACACACTTTTAGAGAGACAATTCACTTCAAACAGAGAGAGTGAAAGTAACAACTTTAGGAATCCATGGAAATTTTGGCTTTTAGGATTCAGGGTTTACACTAGATCATATAAATTTATAAACATTTAGACTACTTTCCTAATCTTTCGATATATCTTAAGTTATAGCATGGGCATAAATACCTCATTTTTCTCTAGCTCTTGGTAGCAATTGCAACTACATGGCTCGGACTTGGAACTTTCCACTTAACCGAAAATGTAAGCAGGAAGTTTGACTGCCTCCATCTTCGATAACAGTTCTTTTCCCTCGCAACGCCCAAGCTTTTTTTTGTTTGTTTAATATAAAATTATATTCATCAACAAAAATACATTTACTTTATCCAAAAAAGACATTCTTACAAGAGACTATTGGTTTTGCTGAGAGTTTTAAAAGTTAAATCTAAAAAGACGAAGACAAAATGAGGCTTATAGTAGTATCTGACGAATACCAAACCACCTAACGTCCAAGTTAGTTATTAGTTCCACAATGTATAAGTATTTTTTATATATGAATTTAAATTTTGTGTTCACCATATAATTTTATTAACTAGATTATTTATTGAATTTCAACTGGGAATTTTTTTTTTTGTATCAGTACAACATTAAAACATCTTACTCTTTCTAATTCTGTAGAATGGAGTCATGTAGAAAACGTAAAACAATAAGTATCCATTTTGTAAAGTAATCAGTTCAAAAAAAAAACAGCTAATCGGAACTTAATTTGTCTGTATTATTATTATAAGGCCATTAATAATTTTTTTTTTTTGACAAATTCCTATTAATAAAGAGAAATTGTTAAAAATGCCCCTTTTTCAATACCCCTTTTCAAAAATACCTCTTTTGAGAGTCTATTTTTAAGTTTGCCCTCTTTTAATTTTTAATGACCATTTTACCCTTATTTGAAACAAAATTAGGTCCACAAAATACAAAATATTTTTTGGCGGGAAAAGTGATCCTGCAATTTTCCCGCCAAAACACTTGGTAAAAACCTTTAAAATACCTTGTAAATTTTTCCCGCCAAAATTTTTTTTTGCGGGAAAAGTGATTCCGCAATTTTTTTGCCGAAATTTTTTTGGCGGGAAAAATTGACAAGGTATTTTAAAGGTTTTACGGAGTATTTACAAGTGTTTTGTAAGGTTTTACAATGTATTTTAAAAGGTTTTACAAGGTACTTATAAGGTTTTATAAGGTATTTATAACTCGTAAAACCTTATAAAAAACTTGTAAAACCTTATAACTTGTAAAACCTTATAAAATAGCTTGTAAAATTTTATAATATCTTATAAATACTTTATAAATACGTTGTAAAACTTTTTAAAATACATTGTAAAACCTTATAAATACCTTGTAAAAACCCTTTAAAATACCTTGTAAATTTTTCCCGCCAAAAATTTTCCCGCCAAAAAATTTGCGGAAAAAATTTTACGGGAAAATTTTACAAGGTATTTTAAAGGTTTTACAAATTTTTACAAGTGTTTTGGCGAGAAAAATTGGGGGATCACTTTTCCCGCCAAAAAATATTTTGTATTTTGTTTACCTAATTTTGTTATATTTTCTTATATATTTATAATATCTTTTATTAAAAGAAGGGTAATTTAGTCATTTTGTACATAAAAGGGGTATTTTTAAAAATGGACATTCAAAGGGGACATTTTTGAAAAAGGGTATTGAAAAAGGGGCATTTTTGTGAGTCTCCCGTTAATAAACTTGTATTCATTTTCTTCTAATATTGTTTTGTTTCTTTTAACATTTAAGGAAAAAATATATGGACCATAGAAGCGTGATGTGAATTGTGAACCAAACCCAAAAGAAAATTATTTAGAATTTATTTAAATGTCATGCATCACGCGCATTCACTAATAAAGTAGTAATGTTTGTAATATATAGCTGTAGTCGATTTTTTTTTTTTTTGGGGGTCTTAGATAGCTGTAATCGATTTAAATTGTAAGTTTTAGAATAGCCATCTACGATCTTAGACTTAGGAACGTAGGGATCATTGATCCCCCTAACACTGTAGTATTGTTACTGTTGTATAGTCATCGAGGGTGTTTTCTATAATTAAAAAAAAATATAGATATAAATTAAAAGAATATATAAATATCGAAGCCTCAAATCACCAATTAATGTCCATAAGAAATATATATTTCTAAACAAATTACTTATTTTTGCTTAAACGTGAAATTTTGGATCCAAAACCCAAACATCTTTCTCATGCTTTCTGTAAAAGCTGGTGAAGTCACGATATCAATTACACAAACGTTAAATATGTTTTTCAAAAACCTAAACGTAATACCACATTTTGATCCAGATTCTTACAAACTTGATGGAATATTCAAATACTGTTTCGGATAAGTATTTAACGGATTACAACAAAAACAAAGTCTTTCCCTCTTCTTCTATTTTTGCATACAGGCGAAAAAACGAAAACTATCAAATCACATAATTGATTAGAGTTTTTTTCTTGTTTTTTCTCCATTTGTTACTTTTTGTTGTTGTGGTTGTTGGAGGTTGAACTCTTAACTAATTAATCATACAAAATCAAAAATACACACATATATCTATTATATATATGGATGAAATGAAAACGAGTAATTAACATTATTAATTAGAACAATTATATCATTTTTTGAAATGGTAAATACGGCTATAAGATCAAACTCACCTATTGTTTGCTACATCGCTCAGATGACAAATTCATATTGGTGATTGAAAAGCAATAAATAATAATATAAAAAGAAAAAAGAGAAGAAAGGAAGAGAGTTCGCAACATCAACAAAGCAAAGTCCCGAAAAAAACGGTAGCTTTGTGGAGACACAAAAATAAGATAGTTGCAGGATCATGTGCCACGCCTACGCTTTCTATTCCATTCCATCTCATTCACGCGTCTCACTCATGTTAATTAATAATTATGATATAATCACAATCCTAATAATATCCCTTAATCTATGCCTAGAACATGCCTATATTATAATTAATACATTCGACACCACTAGAAGCCAAAACTATAGTAGTAAAAAAGAAGAAGAAGCTGATTTGTACGTAGAGGATGAAAGAATGAAAATAACGGAATCCAATAACAATGTTTGTAATAAACGGACAAAGAATGTGAATTATTCACATAAATGATCTGTAAAATGTGAGCATTTGATTATAACGGATATAATAAAACAAAAATTGTAATAAAGAGAGAAGAGGGCAAAACGGGGAACATGTCACGCGGATAGGTGTGAGGGAGTAAATGACGTAGGTTCCGTTATTTAAGAACCCTTTAGAGAGGTTCCCACACACCAGAAGAGAGAGAAAGAGACAGAGAGAAATGGTGAGAGAAGAAGAAGAAGATGACAACAACGGAGGAGGAGGAGAGAGAAAGCTGCCTGTGGCTGATGAAACGGTGCCGTCTTTGTTGGACGGAACGGGATTGGTTTGTGTAACGGGAGGTACTGGTTTCGTTGCTTCTTGGCTCATCATGCGTCTCCTTCAACGTGGCTACTCCGTTCGAGCCACGGTTCGAACCAATCCAGGTTCGAATAGTTATCTTCACTTTCTCTTTACACACTTTGAATCATCATCATTGTTTAACCAAATGCGAATAAAATTGTTGTTGTCATATATGGCTGTTTGGTCCGTTTTAACATAAAGTACATAAATAGAAAGAGGGATTAAATTTTTATATATATATATAGAGAGAGAGATAACATTTAAAGTTAATTTTTGGATCGACAATTAAAAATATATATTTTTATGGATGTGAGAAATTTATTGTACTTGGCTGGAATTATCTGTCATTTTGTAGGATCTTGAAGCTTCATAGCTATGTCATGTTCCATGCATCTTCTACAGAAAGTCAACCATATATTTTATGATCAATAACTAATAACCATAAGATATAAATGACGTTAATGATTCATAATTTGTTTATTTTATGCATATTACAGAAGGGAATAAGAAAGATATAAGCTACCTAACCGAACTACCATTTGCATCTGAGAGGCTTCAAATATTCACAGCCGATCTCAACGAACCGGAGAGCTTTAAACCGGCAATCGAAGGATGCAAAGCCGTATTCCACGTGGCACATCCTATGGACCCAAACAGCAACGAAACCGAAGAGACCGTTACGAAACGCACCGTGCAAGGTCTCATGGGGATACTAAAGTCGTGTTTGGACGCTAAAACCGTGAAACGGTTTTTCTACACGTCAAGCGCCGTTACCGTTTTCTATAGCGGGAAAAACGGCGGTGGAGGAGGAGAAGTAGACGAGAGCGTTTGGAGCGACGTGGAGGTGTTTAGGAATCAAAAGGAGAAGAGAGTGAGTAGCTCTTACGTCGTGTCGAAAATGGCGGCGGAGACGGCGGCACTTGAGTTCGGCGGGAAGAATGGATTGGAGGTTGTGACGCTCGTTATTCCTCTTGTCGTCGGACCTTTTATATCTCCGTCGTTGCCTTCCTCCGTCTTCATATCTCTCGCCATGCTCTTTGGTACTTAATTCTCATATCTAATAAATTTAATTTAATTCAATTTTTCTCCATGATTATACTAAAGCTAAAAATTAATAATTTTAAAATAACTTTAACTTTACTACGTTGATTACGTAGACGTCATATATAGGCATTAAAAATTATATAAACTAATTAAAAGTATACTATAAACTTTTGTTTATTAAATAAAGTAAATTCATCGTATTAGACTACTAGCTAGCTAGTACCAAGTAGTTAAATGGTTCACCCTGTATAGTACTTTTGTTTTAAATGACAAAAAAAATTCTGCTTAGACTTCGTAGATTAGTCTATATTTATGTTTTGGATATTGTGGCTATTATAAATGTAGCAAATTTTATCATTTTAATCAAAATTTGTGTTTTCTATACCGAAAAAAAGAATTAAAATCCTAATTTCTATACGTAACTAATAGAATGATCACGTACGTGTGATATTTAATTTATTACAATTCGAGTAGACTGATTTTCTTTGTTTTGTTAAAACACATGTAAACATGTGTTAATATTCACAAATAGTGTTTTGAGTAATAATCACTATTCACTATAATAATTTACTTTATTTTTGTATGAAGGAAATTACAAAGAGAAGTATTTATTCGATACTTACAACATGGTGCATATTGATGATGTGGCGAGGGCGATGATATTACTATTAGAAAAGCCAGTAGCGAAAGGTAGATATATTTGTTCGTCGGTGGAGATGAAGATCGATGAGGTCTTTGAGTTTTTGTCTACGAAATTTCCTCAGTTTCAGCTACCTTCAATTGAGTAAGTCATTGTTTACTAGTATAATTAATTTCACATGTAAATATTCTATTGGGTTTCCAAAAATTTGATTTACAATATATAAATATTTTTTTAAATGTTCTTTTTTGTGGGTACGTAAAGTTTGAAGAATTACAAAGTAGAGAAGAGGATGAGTCTCTCGTCGAAGAAGCTGAGAAGTGAAGGGTTCGAGTTCAAGTATGGAGCTGAGGAAATATTCGGTGGAGCTATAAGGAGCTGCCAAGCGAGGGGATTTCTTTAAATTCTGTGTTAAAATTTGTATATGAATTGAAAATATCTTTTTCTTTATTGGCCATTCCCGTTTTGTATAACATGAAACTTGTTGAGGAAAAAAAAAAGAAAATGTTTTAATTCAGATTTTTCTTGATTTAGTTTACAAAGAAGGTAGTAAGAGAATAACGCCCACCGTGGGGTTCGAACCCACGACCACAAGGTTAAGAGCCTTGCGCTCTACCAACTGAGCTAGACGGGCTTTTTGCTTAGCTTACTTTCTACCCTAGATTTAACTTGTAATTCTCGTGACATGTACTTACTACTAACCAACATGATCATATTTGGAGTGAGATGTTTGAGAAAATGGGTTTAATCAGAAGTGGTCCTTAGACCAAACCAATGAAGTATTTGTTTGCGGTCTTATAAATTGTAAGTAAATTTTGGCCTTATTTTACTAAGTGTTCGTTTGGTTAGTGGTTGAGGACTCAGGTTATCTTGTTAAGGGTCTCTTGTGTCTCGAGTTTGAGGTGTTTAGTAGGATGTAGTTTTTTTTTGCTTTTCTTTAACAAATATATGACCTTTTTTTTTTTGTTAAATAAGAGATGAACATAATCTGGATCTCAAAATTTAAACCCATATGGCCATATCCTATAGCAGGGCAGGCTATTTTCGGCCTGTTTAGATTTTTTTTTTTTAATGTGTGTGTATGTGATATCTAGCCTGTTTCGACAGCTTTACTAGTTGACTAAGTAGGATTTAGTTTCTTTAAGAGTATTAAATACAGTTTCTGCCATTCCCTTTAAAAAGGATTGTTAAAAATCAATAGTGTTCTCTCTGTTCCAATTTGATAAATGTTTTAGAATATTTGTTTGATTTTAGTTGAAATTTTCAATTTTCTATGCACAATATATGTTAATTTAATAGTGTAGTATATAGTAGTAGATGACTATTTAAATTATGTAGTCTTTTTTCTTTTGGTTGAATTTTAATAAAAAAAAAACATTTATTAATTTTTTCTATCGGTTGATTTTAATGTAGCCAAAAAAATCTTCCAACAAGAGAAACAGAGTGAACAAACACCAGTCAACCAGAATGAGAGTAGTTGTACAAATTCCAATCATAGGGGACAAAACTTTGCAATACACTTGAGATTCGCATCAACAGTAAGGTTCACCATTCGTACGGCATCATCGAATCTCGCTGCATTAGCATAGGCATCGAGCAATAACCTATAAGTGGGGATGTCTGGGATGATGAACTGCTTGGAACACATATCTTCAAAGAAATTCTCTGCTTCAGACAACATCCCCTGTTCGCAGAATCGACTGATTATGTTCCTGTAACAGAGTTGTGAACCATTGATGGTGGTTACGACTCTCTGAAAAGTATCGACTGCTTCGTTAAACCTCGAGTTTCTGAAACATTCGTTGACCATTATATTACAGGTCTCTGCATCAAACTGGACGGGATGACGATCACGTTTCGCCAGCATCCGATCAAACAATGCCCAAGCTTCTGTTTTCTTTCCGTGGTTGAGCAGAATTCGCAGAAGCGTATTCCCAGTATTTGCGTCCATTATGAATTTCTTGCCTAACAAAGATGTGTAACACTTGGTAGCTTCGCTATCGTTTCCTTGTTTGAACCAATAATCTATGAACGTAGCATTCACCATAGCAATTCCATTGTAGTCCTCATCGATGATAAAATGAATTAAGTCGGAAACTTCATCATCTATAGACGAAACCACCCTCTGTTTCAGATCTTTGAAAACTTCAATGGCCGTTTCCAGTTTCCCCTGATCCAAAAATCCACGAATCAGGTGATTGAAAACCAACGGACTCAGTTGGAATTCGGCTTCGCTCGACATCACCTCCATGATCAAATCCTCTGCTTCTTTAACCCTTCCGGTATCAACCAATCCTTTAGCCAAGAGGCTATACGTTTCTTCGTTCGGATGAAAGGGAGATTTGACCAATAAATGGCGGTAAAATCGTATAGCTTCATCAACTCCACCTTCGTGATCGTGACAAAGAGCTCCGATGATGTGATTACAGCAGGAGATGTTGGGTTTCAGGTTTGACTCGTTGAAAAAGTAATGGAAATAATCAAATGCGTCGCTGTACCGTCCCTCGCTACACATGGCGCCGATGATTGCGTCGCAGGTTCCGGTGGCCGTGACAGAAGACAATGATCGGCCTCTCGCCGCCAAGACTGTGAGACGCGCCTGATCCGCCGCCGCATCGAGATTCGATAGCTTGATCATCATCATGACTCTCGCGTGTATATGAGAGGCAGACCAATCGAGTTTCCACATGACCTCCTGATGCGGCGGTAGGGGACGCGATGAGGGATCCCTTGGGATCGGATAAGGGACACTCGCGGCGGACAGACTTGGAAGAGACGATATATTGTGGGAGAAGCTATGGCGGATCTTGTTAATCGGAGTAGAAAGGGAGTTGAAGGATCGTATGCGGATAGAAAACATGGCGGCGGAGGTAACAAGAACCCACCACCGAGATAGGGTTTTAGTTGAATAATAAATTAAGATGATCCCTTCTTTTTTATCAGGAATAAAATTATCCGCAATAAAAATAATCTCCATCGAGATCTAGAAGAAGTCTATTTAAGGGGAAAAAAACAACCTAACTGGTAGTTCGGCTTCTAGAATCTATAGATTGGCTCGTCCTTGATCCTGAAACCCTGGCTAGTTTTGTCTTCTAGTCTCCGCCACCATGTTTCTTACCAGCCTCCGTTCTGCTCCGATCCACCACCATCGTCGTTTGATTAACATGTCAACGCTCTCTTACCTCAACCGCGCTTCTTCAGTCCCCTCATCGCCTCCCATGTCCAAATTCGAATCCGATCCTTCTTCTATTCACAAAAGAGTCATTATGCTTATCAAATTGTCGAACCTCGACGCAGCCGCAGAGCACGCGCGTTTGGCTGTTTTGTCCAGAGGCGAACCTAAAGTGACTGCCAAGACCTGCGTGGCTATCATCGACGCTCTGTGCAGGTACGGTCGGTACAGTGAAGCATACGATTTATTCCATTACTTCGCTGCTAAGTCTAACTCGGATCTGATACCCTTTATCTGCTGCGATCCAATCATCAATGCCTATTGTGATGAAGGGAAAGTCGACGAGGCTCTTGAATTATACCAACATTTGTTGCGCAGTGGTCTTAGTTCTCGTAACCAACTAGTCTTGGCTCAAGGTTTGGTCAAAGCGGGTAGGATTGATGAAGCTATAGATCTTTTCTATTGCGTGAGTAGGTCCTTATATGACATTTTCATCCGTGGGTACTTGGATATGGGAAATCTCGAAAGGGCTAACCAACTTTTCGAAGAGCTAAAGTCGAGTGGGGATTTGGACGCTGTGCGACTTTCATGGATCATTGGTTCAAACAAGGGATGTATGAGAAAGCTATGGAGCATTACATGTTGTCTAAGGAAGATTTCAGCAAGATACATGTGACTGCTGGAAATAGCCTTTTGAAAGTTTTGCTAAGGTACGGTAAGAAGACCGAAGCTTGGTCATTGTTCAGTCAGATGCTGGAGCAAAGCAGGTTCCCAGGTTTGGAGGAATACAGGAACACTAGAAAATTTGATTCGGAGTCGTGCAATATTATGGTGAATGAGTGTTTCAAGCTTGGGCATGTTAGCGAGGCAATCGAGATATTTCACAAGGTTGTTGGCACAATTAGTGATCCACAGTTGTGTTACAGAAACATGATCACTCGGTTTTGCGAACATGGGATGTTGTCAGACGCAGAACGTTATTTCGCTGATATGTGTTCTAAGAAGTATCTTGTCCCTGATGTTCCAACATATCGAACGATGATGGATGCATATGTGAAGGAAGTCAGAGTCAGCGATGCTCGAAAAACTGTGAACCAAACTTTGGATGCGTGTCTAACCTATATTGCTAAGCAGGTCTGAGTAGTGGTGTATTAGCAGATGTACCATTCTTAATATAAATAAAGAAAAGTTTGGAAAGTTGTGAATCAGGCCCACGACACACTGGCAATACACAAATAACAACATTGAATAATTTGAAAATTTACAGTCATTGTGATGTTGACTGGCTAATTTGCTTATTAAGAGAAAATTGTAGGATCCTAGAGCTGTTCTTGTAACTTAACTGTCTTTAGTCTTAGTTGTAAGGATATTCATTTGTTACAATCTCGGCTTAATATGGATTGCCGTCTCTGTTGAACAGGTTTTCAGGTTCCATCAAACTGAACTTGTGTTTGTCATTGTTAAAGAACAGATCTTCTACTCTGATGTGTTTGTCATTATTTAAGAACAGAGCTTTTGCTCTTATGTGTTTCTCATTGCTGAATAAGTGAGCTTCTATTCTTAATCTCCTTTGTTGTGAATCAGTTCTAAAGCTGAGGGCTAGGAAAAAAAAACAAACAAGAATTAAGGAATACTGAAGATACCCTCCGAGAAAACGTCCAAAAGCATAAACATATCAGATTTGGCAATGTGGTGCAAGCTTTTAATCCAAGACCAGAAAGAGCTTAATTCCACATGAGTCTATTATATAAAAGCACAACAAAAAATAGAAAAAGTCTTGAAATGAAAGAAGTGGGAGATTCACAAACTTGTGATCTTGTTATTACAATAGCAGTAAAAGAACACTTGACTTGTAAAATTGATCTTCATATCATTCCGCCATTTGGTTTTCTGTTGTAAGAAGCAACTTGTTAGAGACAATTTTGACTACTAAAACTTACAAAATTACACACATGGAGATAAACACTTACGAAATCAGTAAAGACAAGCCAACCTCCTTAGTTTCAATGTTGACATTTTCCCCAAATGTCACTCCAATACCTTTAAAAATAAGCTTTCTGACCAATGCCTCATTGAGAGTATATATTGTCCCTTTCTTTTCTAAATGCCTTACCAATTTTGAGGCTGAGGCCTCTCTGCTGCTACGGGCTGGATCATCTCTCAGCCGAACCGCTCTCATGTCACCACTATCCTAAAGCTTCTCCTTCAATCGGCAGTTTACCATGTCTGGAGAGAGAGAAACGCTAGGATCTTCACTTCCATCCCATCATCGGCCGCAAGTCTCCGCTTGGCAATTGATCGGTCTTTGAGGAATCGACTTCTGTCCTTCCCTTCTCCGGACCTGCGCTCCCCTTCGCTTCTTCAAGTTTACTTCTCTTATATCTCTTATCCCTTGTAATCTCATGTCTGTCTGTTCCTGTGTTATTGGGTGTATGTTTTGTAGTTTGTAATTTAGGTTGTAACAGTTCTTTGGTATATATCTTAACATTAAAACCAAAAAAAAAAAAAAAAAAAAAAAAAAAAAAAAAAAATTTGAGGCTGAGGCCATGTCTTCATGCTTTGTACAACCACTTAAGAACGACGTAATAGTGATATCATCAATCCTAGGTGTTTCTAGGAGCATTTCTAACGCATTAGAAATCAACCCATTCGCGACAAACATCTCCGTTAACCCTCCAACGATTTTTGGTTCAAAGGGCATTCTATGATGCTTCATGAACAGTACAATACTCTGTGCCCCCCATTCTACCCTCCAAGCATCATTTAGCCCTACGTTTTGGTACCTAAGGGTTACTAACAAACCACTAATGCTAGAAACACTAGGGAAACCCAATTTGACTATTATGCCAAAAGCAGCAAGTGAATCATTTGGGCACATATATCCAAAAGAATGCACCATTGAATCAAGGGACTTGTAGAAGGAACCCCTTGGAATGATTTGCATCACTTTTCTAACACTTTCTCGATGTATTGCTAACTGCCTACCATACATTGTGATGAGATCCCTATGGATATGGGATTCATTACCAAGTTTAATGGTCAGGCAATGAAGATTCTGACCTGTAGTTACTTCATATTCAAACCGTTCTTCAAAGAGTATGGAGACCGATTGTAGCAATAGCCTCAATCGATCAAGAGGTATAGGAGACTCTGCAGAAATCTTTCGCATCACCATGTCACTGAAATTTAAAAATGAACTCGATTGTAAACGCATTCACATGTCAAAGTTGTGATGTAAGTTAACATTAAGAACAGAACCAACAAATCTTATGATGCAAGTTAACATAAAACCAGAGACAAAGGTACTCACAGCGCATCCACTTTGGTGAAGTAGTTGTGACCAGAAAGAGATCCGGTAGAAATCCGACCATACAGTTTGTTGATACTCCTATTAATATAGGATTCAATACCTATCTTAATGCTCAGGCAATGAACTGACTCTCCTGTAGTTTTATCTCCATATTCAAACTGTTCTTCAAAGAGTCTGGAAACCGATAATAGCAATAGCCACAATCGGTCAATAGGTACTGGAGACTCTGCAGAAATCTCTCGCATCACCATGTCACTGAAATTTAAAAATGAACTTGATTGTAAACGCATTCACATGTCAAAGTTGTGATGTAAGTTAAGATTAAGAGCAGAACCAACAAATTGTATGATGCAAGTTAACATTAAACTAGAGACAAATGTACTCACAGCGTATCCACTTTGGTGAAGTAGTTGTGACCAGTAAGAGATCCAGTAGAAATCCGACCATACAGTTTTTTGAGAGACCTATGAATACAGGATTCAATACCTAGCTTAATGCTCAGGCAATGAAGTGACTCTCCTGTAGTTACAGCTCCATATTTAAACTGTTCTTCAAAGAGTCTGGAAACCGATTGAAGCAATATGCGCAATCGGTCAGGAGGTAATGGAGACTCTGCATAAATCTTTCGCATCACAATTTCACTGAAAATTTAAAAATGAATTTGATTGTAAATGCATCACATGTCAAAGTTGCGATGCAAGTTAAAGTCAGAAACATAACCAACAAGTCGTATGATGCAAGTTAAAATAAAACCATAGACAAAGGTACTCACAGCCTATCCACTTTGGTGAAGTAGTTGTGATCAGTAAGGGACCCGGTAGAAATCCAAGCACGGGAGGCCAATGATCTGCTTTCTGGGACACGGTGTTCTGCTTTTGAACGGAGAAGTCGAGCGATGACCGAAGAAAATACCTGTGTAAGAAAAATGAAAAAGAAGGAACCAATTTCAAAACTCGAGACTCGGCCATATAACAAAAAGGCCAATTATGATAACAGATGGGCCTGTAAAAGAATACAACTTGAACCAAGTAGTTAGAAGAAAAGAAGAAGAGCCCGTTTTTAACCGTGACGTTTTCAATGGGTAATTTCGGATTTAACCCTATTTAGAAATTATGAATAAAGATAAATTTTAATTAGTCATGCTAAGTCTGTGAGTAGGAAAAGTAAAACTTAAGAACAAATTACGATCATCAAAACGGTTAAACAATCGAATCATTTTTTTTTTTTCTGGGATGAAAAATCGATCATTATCCATAGAATGAAACATCTAATCTACGATAAGTTACAGTAAAGCTAAGAACAAATTTCAATAATCACCAATGAACAATGAAATCATCTCGATCTCTTTTGGTTGTAAAATCGATCACCATTAATCATAGAGTGAATTCGCTGAATCTACGAGAACGGAAAAGTAAAACCAAGAACAAAATACGAAAAGAACCAATAAACAAATCGGATCATCTCAATCTTTTCATACTTTTTTTGGTTGTAATTAGATCGGATCATCAATGATAGAGTTAAAGCATCTAATCTACGATAAAAGAAAGGTAAAACAAAGAAGATCATCAAAGATTCATAGCGAGCGAGCATTTCTTCCAAAGTAAGCAAACGTCGTCATTCAAGTAAATGATGATCCTAAACAATGTATTCATGCAGGGAAACAGAAACGGACCTTCATTTTTTCCCCAAATCTGAGAGAACTTGACTTTCACTTAATGGGAGAGAGAACAGAGAAGGATTAGCGATCAAAAGCCAAGGAAAAATCAGTTGTGTGGGCGAGATATGCATGGGATTAGAGGTTATTTATTGAAGAGCTGGAGATAGAAGTGATAGCGATCGTTTTCTCCCTGAGAAAATCTGGAAAGATGACTTTCCCTGAGAAAATTTAGAAGGATTTCTGAGAGAATAAGGATCCTTGATCGATCACCTGAGTGTTTTGTTTATATGCATGCATGGGTTTGCGAGAATTCAGTTATTCCGTACTACTAGTATATAATACACTCTCCTTGGTTTGTGGGGGCCACTAGATTTTCGTGTGTACATACATGATTAATGATAAGGAAAAATAAAAAAAAAGGACGCAGGAGAGGGAGATTTTTTTTTATAAAAAATTAACAATTAATTTTTGCTTGCCAGCTAGTAGATAGTAAAAGAGGAAATCTCATATGGTTGCTACAAGACAAATGAACGAGGCGTTAACAACCTCGCCTGTACACAAAAAACTCATACAATTACGAGGTTAATAAGGGTATCTTTACCAAAAGAAAAAAGATCTCCTGTTATAGTTTATAGATTCTATATAACTTCTTTTGTTATTGGTTCGATGAATTTATTATTTCACTTAAAACTAACTTTTTTTAATTTCTTACATTTTTTCAACTACTATTAATTTGTAACTCTTTCAAATTATAGTCTTATTTGAATATGAAACAACTTTTCAAAAATCATAGATTTCCATCATATTTTTAAAGAGCTGAATCATTCAAATTTATCAATTTTTAATAAAACAATTCTATTATATGTCTTTGTTTACTGCATGCACTTTCTAGTAGAACAAGAATAGATATGAACACCCTACAAATGGCAAAAATAGAAAAATATATTGCAATTTTCTTATGAAACTTTTCAACTGGTTTAGAAAGCATTTACTGGAGTTTATGAAAGTCTTCTTAAGATTATTTGGAGTACATTTTGGAAAGAAACAGCTGTGGTTTCAAAAAGCTCTCATAATTTTTATTTTTATTTTGCAATATAGACATTGGCTTGCGTTAATTTATTTTCCACACTCATCATGTTGTGGAATAAGTAGTTTTTGGGGTTCTGATCATCGTCCGATTATGACTCATATCTGGTCTAAACAAGTTTTTGGTGAAAGGACTTCCGATTTGATAAGCGTTACCGTGCTAAACCAGTATTCGATAAATATTTTCGGATGAATGGCTAATTAACCAGAGATAGATGTAGATATTTTTACTTTGAAATGGTGACAAAATGATAAGATTTTTAACTCATCAGAAATAATTTATGGATTAAAGACCCTGATAGTGGAGTTTCAGTTGAGGAACAACTTCGTCAATCAGAACACGAAATGCATCCATAAAACGGTAACGGTCCTGAAATCAGATTATAGTCGGGTTGCAGGACTTGGATGGAGTCTGAAAATAACTTATACCTCTATGGTTGATGTTATATAGTGAAATCAAACCATATTTACAAACACAAACCAGCAATAGTTTTCTTTTAAAACAACAGAAGAACTGAATAAGAGTATGGTAAATGACACTCTAGGCTCCGTGAAAGTAATTTGACAACGTTGACCAAAAAATTAATGATAATAACTAATCGTTGAAAATGAATTAATGACGTATGAAAAGAAGAATTCAAAAAGGAAAGTGGAAGAGAAAAACAAATCTTGGAGTAGCAAATTTTTACTTTTTGTCAGGTTCGTAGCTTCGTCCTCGTTGATGAATCCTGCATCTGGGATTTCTCACTAACATATGTCCCAGAAACCCTTTTGAATCTTAAATTCCTCGTTCGAATTCGATTTCCAAAGAAACGGATCCAGAAACCGGAAAGATTAGATTTTTTTCCAAGCGATCGTGATTGAGTATGCATAGATCTGGTACTACAATGGCGTGGAACGTCTTCAAATTCTGTACAGCTCTACGAGGACTCGGATCGATCATGATCCTTCTGGTCTTAGGGGTTGTTGGTGTAACCTATTACGCCGTCGTTTGGACCAATTATGGACCTACACTATCAGATGGAGGTCTCGGTTCTCTTGCTGCTTTTGCTATTATAATCCTTTTCCACTTTTTGGTAAACCCTTCATCTACCATTTTGTTGATTTCATTGTTAATCCAACAAAAGCTTCCTACTTTGGTGAATTCTTCATTATAGTTTTGTTGGGTTTCAAGTAATTTTTGTAATTGAATTTCTGAGAAAGTTATGATAGTGTGTTGTTATTATTGATGCAGTTGGCAATGCTTTTGTGGAGCTATTTCTCTGTTGTGTTTACTGATCCTGGTGTTGTGCCTCCTAATTGGAGGTTAGCTTCAGACGAGGAACAACGAGGCGAGTCTGATGCGTTAAACAGTTTGGAGTTTTGCGTGTTACAGCCTGATTCTTCCAACCAAAGAACTCGGTTTTGTAGAAAATGCAATCAACCTAAACCTCCTCGTTGCCATCATTGCTCTGTTTGTAAGAACCAGTCACAGACATACACTCTCAGTCTCTCTGTATTTATCGTTATAGCATTTGTTGAAGGAGTATCAGGAAGCTGAATGTGTTTTACATAAAATCCAGGTGGTCGATGTGTGTTGAAAATGGACCACCATTGTGTTTGGGTTGTGAGCTGTGTCGGGGCGCTTAATTATAAGTATTTTCTTCTTTTCTTGGTAAGTCTAACTTTGATCTATTAGTCATTTTCCTTCTGCTGTTGTGATCCCTGTGCTGCATTGCTGTTGTCCATAGAAAAGGTTCACACGTTTTAGTTAGCTCCAGATTTTAAAGTCGAATTGTGCCAAAAGAGTTTCCTTTGATGTCTCTTACCAAAATTAGAGTACTTTTTGGGTATAGGATACATTCATGTCTGTTTATGCCATCAAATGATAGAAATTCTTCCTCTTTGTGTCATGACTCTTAACTAAGTCTTGTGTGTTAAAAATGTTTCAAATGCAGCTTTACACCTTTTTGGAAACAACTCTTGTGACTCTACTTCTCATGCCACACTTTATAGCTTTCTTTAGCGATGAAGAGATACCTGGAACCCCAGGCACTCTTGCTACTACATTTCTTGCATTTGGTACGTTTCCAATTCTCAGTCTTATTATGTTTAGCAGTTTAATTGATGTTCTCGGTTCCACCTATCCACTGATCTCACAACGTTTCACATCATTACCGCAGTATTAAACCTGGCATTTGCTTTAAGCGTTATGGGTTTCTTAATCATGCACATTTCGTTGGTTGCTGCCAATACCACAACTATAGAGGTACATGTTATTTTCTTTTTCTTTGCTAGCCTGTTAATAGTTTGTTGCATCACATGGTTAATATTTCTTTGGTGTATTGACTTTGTGAACAGGCATATGAGAAGAAAACAAGTCCAAAATGGCCATATGACCTTGGTCGAAAGAAAAACTTTGAACAAGTAAGTGTAGACTTTGATTTGGTATCGAGTTTTGTACTTATCAAGTTCTTTCTTTCTCTTCCATGTTCATGTTCTAATATCTTTTTGGGGGTTATGTTTAGGTGTTTGGTATGGATAAAAGATACTGGCTGATTCCAGCCTACTCAGAAGAAGATTTAAGACGAATGCCGGAACTTCAAGGACTCGAATACCCTTCCAAACCGGACTTCGATTCCCAAGATTTCTGAAGAAAGGTGCCTTCTTTACTGTAACAATACCTTAGAGATGACAGAGACAGAGATAGGAAATGACTTTGGAGGAGTAATATCTACTCTTAACTTAAAAGAGTCGCTTCTCGCATTACACGGTGTCGTTTCGTCCCACTGATAGAAGAAAACGCTGAGACTAAGGGCAAATCAGATGATATTTTGTAGTTTGCATATGAATATGATTGTAGTTATAAATGTAGAGCCAGTCTCACGTTGAATAGAATCCTCCCTCCGGTTAAGTCACTCACTTTTCTTATAGTCTATTCCTTTTGTTAAAACCCTGGTTTCAATGCTTGCCATTGAATTTTTGTGGTAAAATAAAGAAAAATTCACAAGGATGAAGAATGCTGGAGAACCTTCTAGGTTATGGTAAAATGACACGTGTATCAATCTCAGCCGTTCTTTTCTGTTAGAATTGAGGTTATATAAAAAAAACAGACTGATGTTAATTTGTCGTTTGAATTGAGAGTACTCTGTCTCTGGAATTTCTGGGTTCTTCTCGGATTCTCTCAAAGGTACTCTCTTTTCTTAGCTCTAGTTCTAACTCTTCGATTCTCTTAGAGAAGGATAGGTTATATACTCTATATAAGAATCTCCTATGAGAGATAGAGATTTGGGGAAGTTTGTTGTATTCAATTTAGGTTGTTCACAGAGATTTGCTTGATGAGTATAGAGAAGAGTTTCTGAGATCATGTTACTAAATTTTATACAAAAAGATTGCAGAGATAAAAAGAGGAATTACAAAAATGGGTGATCCATTTGGTGGTAGATTTGGAAATTTTGGAGGATTTAGAGGTAGCTTGTTTGGAGGAAGAGATCCTTTTGATGATCCATTCTTCTCTCGACCATTTGAGGATTTGCTCGAACCAACCAACACCTTTGGTTCAGGTGCTTCCTTTAGTTATGCACAGAAGAACAATGGTGGAAGAGGTTTAACAATTGAAGAATTACCATCTGATGAAGAAGTAGAAGAAAGGAAAGATATTGGTAGTGATGATCAAGAACATGCTAGTTCAGTGAATCAACCATCTGTTGAGCACCCTGAAGATGATTCTGATGGTAATTACCACTAGTGATTAGATGATAAACTTTGTTTTCGGATTATATATGATTGTGGTCTGTGTGATTTGCTTGGCTTGTTGCTGTAGCTGAGAGGAAGATTCAGAATGTGAATCAAAGGAGTGATTTCAACCGAAGAGAAGGTACGCAATCTCGAGCTAACACATCCAGACATCACATCTCTAAGGTTACATATGGTGGCATAGATGGTGCTTACTATACATCTACTAGAACCAGAAGAAAAGGCAGTGATGGAGTAAGCTTGTTTCTCTTTTCGACCCTTTATTTTAATGGAAGTTTTTACGCATACTAATCAGATTCTGTTTCTAGATGGTGGTAGAGGAAAGCAAAGAAGCCGATAAGACTACCGGTGAAGCCACTCATAGGATTTCCAGAGGAATCAATGATAAGGTGATTGATTACCCTGTGGATGTTTTGCTCCATCACTTCTTGGTTCCACCAAGTTTCAATTTTAGATGTGTCTTGAGACTGAGACTCTTGGTTTGGTGTATCCAGGGTCATTCAGTTACTAGGAAGCTTAACTCAACTGGTGGTATAGAGTCGACACAGACTCTTCACAACCTTGATAAAGGTCTGCAGAATCTACACAGCCTAATCATAAGTTAAAGTTCTTTGAAGGTAAAATGGAAAGATTATAAAAGATTGTTTGTTTGATTTTTTTTTTATTCAGACGAATTAAGTAGCTTTGAGGAAGCATGGAAAGACAATTTATCTCTTGCCAAACATGAATTCACTGGTTAGCAAAACTCTTCATCTCAAAACTAATCTTTGATCTCAAATTAAGAATCAAGAAGTTTGAGTCCGTTTTACTGTCTTGTTTTTGTTCTCTGTACAATGTTACAGGCTCTGATCATAGTTTTGGAGGGTGGCTTCTTCCAGCTCTTGACCAAAGTGGTCGCCAAACAGACCAAAGTCAGACTGGTTCAAGCCGATCTGCAACTGGAGCTAAGAAGGTTGTTCGAATCAACATTGAATGAATCATCAGAAAACCATGTATCATTCTGTGTGTGTAAATCAAATAATGTTGCAGATGCATCTTTGAAGTTGTAATGTCAATAATTTTACATTCATGTAAAAACACAAAATACAGTTTATACAAACGTATATGGAAAAAGTAAAATTATTCAAACGTATATACAGTACACACATTCAAATGAAGTGGTGGAAAAAGGGTACAAGAGGAAATCCAAATTTAGCATCAGGGTTTGTGATAGACCGTAGACGCTCTTTCTTTGGAGTGCTTGTGTTATTGTTGATTATGATGGTGAGTTCTGTGTTATTGTGAATGAAATGCCTGATATTCTATAGGCAGATATTTGCGTTGCTGGTCATCCTGGGATGTATATGTTAAATTTACATTAAGATGTGAAAAAAACATGTTGGATTTGGAGAATCACTAACGATCACGGTTAAATGACGGGATATGTTATGTTAATTTAGTATTTATAAAAAACTTAAATAAAATAAAACAAAATAAAAAAAAAAAAGAAATAAAAGAGTTGAAAACTTTTGAAGAAAAAAAAAGTAAAAAATAAATGCTAAATTTACATTAAAATGTGAAAAACATGTTGGATTTGTGGAATCGCTAACGACCATGGTTAAATGGCGGGATCCAAAATCCGGTTAGTTTTCATAATGTAATGTTAATTTAGTATTTGTAAAACCTTAAACAAAAAAACTTTTTAAAAAAAGAAGAAAGAGTTGAAAATTTTTAAAGAAAAAAAATAGAAAATAAATGCTAAATTAACATTAAGATGTGAGAAAACATGTTGGATTTGTGGAATAGCTAACGACCACGGTTAAATGACGGGATCCAAAATCCGGTTAGTTTTTACTACGTCATGTTAATTTAGTATTTTTTAAAAACTTAAAAAATGAAGAAAAAAATCATTTTTTTTTGAAAAAAAGAGTTGAAAAACTTTTGAAAAAAAAACATAAAAAATACTAAATTTACATTATGATGTGAAAAAACATGTTGGATTTGTGGAATCGCTAACGACCACGGTTAAATGGTGGGATCCGAAATCCGGTTAGTTTTCACAACGTCAATGTTAGTTTAGTATTTTTAAAAACTTAAAAAAATGAAGAAAAAAATCAAAACAAAAAGTTTTTTTAAAAAAAAAAAGAGTTGAAAAACTTTTTAAAAAATTAAAAAAAAAAAGTTGAAAAGCTTTTGAAAAGAAAATATAAAAATACTAAATTTACATTAAGATGTGAAAAACATGTTGGATTTGTGGAATCGCTAACGACCACGGTTAAATGGCGGGATCCAAAATCCGGTTAGTTTTCACAACGTCATGTTAATTTATTATTTTTAAAAACAAAAAAAAATGAAGTAAAAAATCAAAACAAAAAGTTTTTTTTTTTAAAGAATTGAAAAACTTTTGAAGAAAAACAAAAAAAATACTAAATTTACATTAAGAAGTGAACAACATGTTGGATTTGTGGAATCGCTAACGATCACGGTTAAATAACAGGATCCAAAATCCGGTTAGATTTCATAACGTCATGTTAATTTAGTATTTATAAAAAAAAAGGAGTAGAAACAAAAAAAAAAACCAAAAAAAAAAATGTTAAACTTAACTGAAAAATGTTTCAGTATTAACGATCTCGGGCCTGACATTAATCAAAGGCCCAATAATCCTTATGAGAATATTGCTAGTTGAGGTACTGATTATTTATAGAATATTATGCCAACAGCTGATTCCTGCTACTGTCGATGTGGGACCTTCTGGTTTTCTACATTAGGAGGAGGGACTATGTCGGTGCTGATCTTTTTATCTTAATGTTAGCCCAATAATAAAGCCCATACGATTTGAGTTTATCTGGATCGTTCCGAAACTTAACGCTATCTAAATTCTAACATTTTGTTATACCCAACTCTATCATGGCGAGGAAGCGAGGAAGCGAGTTCTCTCGAGCAACCGATGTATCGCTGTCCCACGCAGCGTTTAACACCTGCAAAAAAATAAGTTTAGCTTTGAGGTTTTGGTGATTACTGATAAGCGCAGGCTTAAGAAACTGATATGCTGTGTTTTCTTTACCTGCCAAGCTACTGCCTCAGGTTCTCCTAATACTCCTGATAAATCATCCGGACGGTTTAGAACTTGCACTTCTCCAGATACAAAACTCAGAGTGGCACCATGCTTCTTAAGTGTAGATGCAATTGCAGCATAACCATCTCGGTTGCTCGGGTTGTAGAATCCGGCGGTTAGCACAGCGGCATGGCTTGCTGTTCTGTACCACCAGTGGACGTCTGGGAGCTGTTTATGTTGTTTATGTTTTTTTTGGTCATTAGGAAACCATGCATCAATCAAATAATGTTGTTAGAAGTCGTTATGTCAATAATTTACATTCGGTAAACGCAACATATAATAAATTTCGAGTATGGAAAATTATTCAAGTTTTTGTAACGTATATATATACATCATTTTAGATTTTAGACACTGACAAAATGAAGTGGTGGAAAAGGGTAAAAGAGGAATCCATTTAGCGTCTGAACAAATGCTCCTCTCCCGATAGATGATCCACGTGTCTAATCCAACGGCTAGGAAGCATCCTCGAGTCACCACGTTGGTGGCCACCAGTAGCTCCCACGTGTACGATATCCAAACCACTCCCAACCGGTAAAAACACGGATCTAACTACACGTGTCCCTCCTTTCAACACATCGTGCCATTTAAACCCAGAGATTGCTCTCTGCGTGGCGTTTTTACACACCAAAACGGCACCCTTGTTGCTCAGTTTCGCAAACCTTAGCGTTTTAACGAAATCTCGCCGTTTCGAGTCCACCACCAAGAAATCCACACCGGGAAACTCCTCCATCGTGTTCTCAACAGATTCTCCGACCACCACAACCTCCGTCGTCTCCATCGTAACGACTCCTCTCATGGCCAACACGTACTCAAGTTTAGATTGCTCGTCAGCTACTATACACACGTGTCTTCCGCACGTGTGAGTTGCAGCAACCACGAGTCCGACGCTAGTCGCGATTGTATCGCCGCGTGACCATGTCTCAACGATCAGCCTCGCGTTCCATCCAGCCGCCGTAGCTGATAAAAACTCCGCCACTCCTGATTCTTTGTAGCTCTTACACTACACACATATATGCATGCAAAATTAAATAAAGTAAAAAAAAATATTTCTATATACACACATATGTAATCTAGTTAAAAGGCATACCGATTTAACGGTGTCGATGTAGGCGTCAGAAGCAGTTTCCGGCGACCAGACAAGCTTCATAGTGAAAGTGAAATGGAGTTTGATGATTTGGGAAGAAGGAGAAAGTAGTTAGGTTTTATAAATGGACAAACGAAGCGTTGACATTTGCTTTCACTAATAACAACGTGTCAATTGGTCTCGTTGCTTCCATTTATTACTCCTTATTTATCCTCACCATTTTTTATACAAAAATATCTGTTACTGGTCGTTCAATCAGTAAATCTACTTTTTTTAAAAAAAAATTCCATTCTATGCAAAAATCGAGAATTTTATGTCGTCGATTTGCGTTAGTCTACTATTTTGACAATCTAATGTAAAAACAATATCAATATATACCTACTGTAAAAGCTATTTAGACATGAATTATATTACATAAGTGATAATTAATAATTTAACCATTGGCTTTGTTATAATACTAGCTAGTTAAATGCTTTTTCTGAATTTTGATACTTATTTCATTGTCGTCAAAAGGTTAGAGTGTGAAAATATACGTGTACTACTAAATCAAAGGATAACTTTGATTGCTGATATTGTGGACTTGGTGAGACAATTTGAATACTTACATGAGATGGTCTTAGATTTTTTTTTCTTTCTAAATTCTCAATCTTTGATTTTAGCCTTTGTTATTTCAACTTAATGACGATCCATATGGTTTTTCTTTGGAACTCGCTTTCATTGTGCCAACCAACGAATGTATAATAAAAGGTTATATATATAAGAATTAATTATATAACGTAATATATCGCCGGCTATTTTGGTTTATTATGCACGTACCACATAAGCTAATGGGTATGCGACAAAGATATGTAAATTGCAATATAAAATTATATATGAGATTCGTTGAAGTTTGAAGATATCTACAAATTACTAAGTTCATTCTATATGAAAAGATCATAAATTTTGTCTTAGTCAAAAAATATGAATCAAAACAAAAAAAATCCTAGCTTGATTTATCAAAAATGATTAAAATCCACCAATCAAAGTCTTACAATCACTTCGTAATGAAATTATATGGTGAAAATAACTAAGCCATTAAAATCACTCAAAATTTATATTAATCTCATTAGCATATGTAGACATATAGTCATCAGGTTATTGATAAATTTGCTGGAATTGCAAACAAAAAGTAAGTATACAATGTGCATGTGAGCCCAAATGCGTAAGAACTAGAGCCCATGACCATGAGTAGTTATGAACTTAATTTGTATAAATATAGCAACTTAAATCTAATATTAAGCTACAGTATACTATTTTGGTCGAGACATGCCTGTAGCCCTGTACCATGGCTCCAGAAATACTACGAACAACCCAATGTAGAGCAAAGCACTTTTTTTTTTTAAAGCACTCTTAAGCTATAATTAAATTGAATCTGCCTCAATTGACATGATTTTAGTTAAACTAACGATTGAGTAGACGACAAAATAGCGCTTTCGTTTTATATAAAAGACGCACGATATGTAAATTGCAACTACGCATTGAAATCATATTATATAGTTTATAAACAAACCCAATTTGATTCTCACACAAAAAAAAAAAAAAAATCAATTTGATAAAGGAGAAAAATGTACGATATATCGTACCACTCCATCCCTGACAATGAGTTATGAAGGAAGTCAATGCTTATCAACTACTTGCTTATCAATACGATATTGACAATATCTTATTATCACACTATCAGTTTTCTATTTTCTATACATATATTATTTCGTACAGATTTATTTGGTGACATAATAATATAATCAACTTAAACTCAAAGATCTAATTCAATTCGTTTAGAGGAAAGGAATATCCTTCAAATTCAAAAAATTTCTATTATATTTTATTTTGGTGTCTTGAATGTCTCTGTTACTACGTATCATGTAATAATTTAACTCCAGAATGAAATAAAAATCAGTTTAACAAAGAAGTAAGTACATAATTGTTTATGTTGAGGATATACATAAATCGATTTATTAAACCAAGCTACTTTGTTTCGATGTTTGTAAACAATCAATACTATTGGGCAACCTAATTTCCTTTTGCAGGTTTTGGGCTTCAGTTAGGGCTAATAATATATACTATTGGGCCTTATTTAGTAAGCCCGCTTATAAGCAAAATTAAACGACTTCGTTTAACTTATTCCTTTAGAATCAGAGACTACTACATACTAGCCGTTAAAACGATGATAAACCCAATCCGGTTATCTCCAACAGAAGAACGTAACTGATACTTGTCTTCAACAATGGAGTGTTCGATTTCATCCACCATTCAAGTCCTTGGAAGCTGCAAAACTTCATATGACGTGAACAAAATCCACGGGGGATTGATTAAGACGGGAATTATCAAAAACTCTAATCTCACTACAAGGATTGTTCTCGCTTTTGCCGCTTCTCGACGACCGTATCTCGCTGAATTCGCGCGTTGTGTCTTCCACGAGTATCACGTATGTTCATTTTCACCCGGAGAGATGGAGGATCCATTTTTATGGAACGCCGTGATCAAGTCTCACTCTCATGGAAAGGATCCGAGACAAGCTCTGCTCTTGTTCTGTTTGATGCTCGAGAATGGTGTTTCCGTGGACAAATTCTCACTGTCACTTGTTCTTAAAGCGTGTTCGAGGCTAGGTTTTGTAAAAGGAGGAATGCAGATTCATGGGTTTTTGAGAAAGACTGGACTTTGGTCGGATTTGTTTCTACAGAATTGTTTGATTGGGTTGTATCTGAAATGTGGTTGTTTAGGTTTTGCCCGCCAGATGTTTGATAGAATGCCGCAGAGAGACTCTGTTTCTTATAATTCCATGATTAACGGGTATGTCAAATGCGGATTGATCGAATCCGCGCGTGAATTGTTCGATTTGATGCCAAGAGAGATGAAGAATTTGATATCTTGGAACTCTATGATAAGTGGGTATGCTCAGACATCAGAAGGAGTTAACATAGCTTCAAAACTGTTTGCTGAAATGCCTGAGAAGGACTTGATTTCATGGAACTCAATGATCGATGGATATGTAAAACACGGAAGAATCGAGGATGCTAAGGGTTTATTTGATGTGATGCCGAGAAGAGATGTGGTTACTTGTGCTACCATGATTGATGGGTATGCAAAGTTAGGTTTTGTTCATCAGGCTAAGACTCTGTTTGACCAAATGCCTCTTAGAGATGTTGTGGCATATAATTCTATGATGGCTGGTTATGTTCAAAACAAGTGTCACATGGAAGCTCTTGAAATATTTAACGACATGGAAAAGGAGAGTCACTTGTCACCCGATGAAACGACTTTGGTAATCATTCTTTCTGCAATTGCTCAGCTTGGCCGATTATCGAAAGCCACCGATATGCATTTGTATATTGTGGAGAAACAATTCTATCTAGGTGGAAAACTCGGCGTTGCTCTCATTGATATGTATTCGAAATGCGGAAGCATACAACACGCCATGTTGGTTTTCGAGGGAATCGAAAACAAAAGCATTGATCACTGGAATGCTATGATTGGTGGGCTAGCTGTTCATGGTCTTGGAGAATCCGCATTCAATATGCTCTTGCAGATCGAGAGACTCTCCATAATACCAGATGATATCACCTTTGTTGGAGTTTTAAATGCTTGTAGCCACTCTGGATTAGTGAAGGAAGGCCTTCTCTGCTTTGAGCTCATGAGGAGAAAACACAAGATAGAACCAAGGTTGCAACACTATGGGTGTATGGTCGACATACTATCGAGATCCGGTAGTATAGAGCTAGCCAAAAACTTAATAGAGGAAATGCCAATTGAGCCAAATGATGTCATATGGAGAACATTTCTCACCGCTTGTAGTCACCACAAGGAGTTTGAAACGGGAGAGCTTGTCGCGAAACACCTTATTTTGCAGGCTGGCTATAACCCGAGCTCATATGTGCTTCTCTCTAACATGTATGCTAGTTTTGGAATGTGGAAGGATGTTCGTAGAGTTAGAACGATGATGAAGGAAAGAAAGATAGAGAAAATTCCTGGATGTAGTTGGATTGAGCTCGATGGAAGAGTCCATGAGTTCTTTGTAGATAGCATTGAAGTTTCCAATACATTGTAGATAAAACGATTGTGCAGCGATATATTTTCAAGAGCTTTAACCTAATCTGCAATTCCTTGCCCATACATGAAGACAATGTCACAACATATTCACATGTTGGTTGGATGCAGCTAAGATATGTCTGAAAAAAACACTTCCCACAAGATCACCTAAAACTTCTGAAAAGTGATTGTTTTTACAGCCTAAGTACATCAGCTACAGTTACAAGGAGATAAGATTGTTACACTGAACCTAAAAACAGAGTTAACATCAGGGGAATGGTGATATTCTGAAACCTTGGTATGCCAATTCTTGGACATTAAAAGCAAGAATCTTGTTAAACGGAAACTAATAATTCGCTGCGAGTTTGTTCAGTTCTTGCATAACGTCTTCCATGGATGGTCTCTGGTTTGAGGATTCATGGGTGCAGAGAAGACCAAGTCTAGCGAGCTCAGCTGCTTCTGCTTCCGGGAAGTTCTTTCGAAGATTTGGATCCATGAAGTCTTCATTCAGTCTTCCTGACTCTACAGCTTGTAAGATCATCAAATGGCTGATTTTGCTTTTACCACTCAGTATCTGCAACAGAATCATACCAAAGGCATACACGTCGCTCTTATCAGTAAACCTCCCTGTAGTTATGTACTCAGGAGCTAAGTATCCCATTGCCGCACTTGCTTTGAGCTTCGAGAAAACGATGTCATCCGTGAAAAGCTTGTGAAGACCGGAATCCGCAAGAGAAGGATTATACCAATGATCAATGAGAATCTTCTCTGCAGATAGATTCTGGTGAACTATTGCAGGCTTGTTTCCATTTTCTCCATGTAGGTAAACAATCCCTGAAAGAAAAAAAAAAAAAACAGACATCAGATTTTTACATACAAAAACCGAATTTGGTTTGCGAAAGAAGGAATCGCAGAATCCAACCTCTGGCGATGCCATTAATGATGGAAACTCGAGTTGTCCATTCGAGAACCTCTCCAGTCTCATCCTTCACATCAAGATACTGCAAAAGATTACCATTGGGGACAAACTCATAGATAAGGAAACATTCTCCACGTCCTTTTGAGCAGCAGAATCCTCTCAACCTCACTAAATTCTCATGCTTCAACAATGTCAGCATCTTCAACCCTTTGAGAAACTCGGATTCATCGGATTTACAGCTCGATTTCGCTATACATTTTACAGCTGCAACAGAACCATCTCTAAGGATACCTTTATAAACCGAAGAGACATTACTCTTCCCCAACAAGTTAACCTCAGAGAAGCTCTGAGTAGCTCTCTCATTCTCCTCAAGATTGAACATAAAGCTCTCAAAGACTTCTTGAGACAATGCACTGTTGTTGTTACTGCTCTGTCCTCGTCCTAACGGATCCCAACCACTTGCATACTCTAGGCTGATCAATGGAGAAGAGCTTTTTCTTCTAGAAACTTCTTTGAAGTTGTACTCAGTGCTAATCCTACCGTCCATTGCATCAAGACTGCTTCCAATCTTTTGTTTCCTTCGTCTGTACCATGTGAATGTTGAACCACCAAAGATTGCAACTGCGAGGATTGAACCCATAAGACCCATGACGATTCCTAAAGGTGAAGACTTTGAGGTTTTTGATGAACACACGCCATTATTGTTACTGCAATTGCTTCGTTGTAAATCTGCTGATTCTGGTTTCACGTCAACGGTTGTGAAATTCGTTGGGTTTGTTGGGTCTGGCCGGTTTAGGTTCGGACCGTTTAAACCGGTGCAAGCATTCAAATCCGTGAACCCATCTCCGCATAAACCGTGATTGTTTGAATACTGGAATCCATTGTTTAGCCTCTTCAAAGCTATAAAATCCAAAATAATCAGAAACAAGTAAGCAAAACATTAAGAATTGATACGGTTTTTGGATTGGTTTTCGGTTCGGTTTAACCGGAATGGTCAACTCTAATCATTCAGCAAATTGAAGAATTTATGAATCTGGAGGAAAAAGAAATAATTACCAGAGGGAACGAAGCCGGCAAAGGGTTATTACGAATGTCGAGAACTTCAAGCAAAGGAGCACCAGCGAGTTTCACCGGAACAGGACCAAAGAGGTTGTTGAAGCTCAAATCAAGCCTCGTTAACGTATTAATTTAGTATTTATAAAAAACTTAAATAAAATAAAACAAAATAAAAAAAAAGAAATAAAAGAGTTGAAAACTTTTGAAGAAAAAAAAAGTAAAAAATAAATGCTAAATTTACATTAAAATGTGAAAAACATGTTGGATTTGTGGAATAGCTAACGACCACGGTTAAATGACGGGATCCAAAATCCGGTTAGTTTTTACTACGTCATGTTAATTTAGTATTTTTTAAAAACTTCAAAAATGAAGAAAAAAATCATTTTTTTTTGAAAAAAAGAGTTGAAAAACTTTTGAAAAAAAAACATAAAAAATACTAAATTTACATTATGATGTGAAAAAACATGTTGGATTTGTGAAATCGCTAACGACCACGGTTAAATGGCGGGATCCGAAATCCGGTTAGTTTTCACAACGTCAATGTTAGTTTAGTATTTTTAAAAACTTAAAAAAATGAAGAAAAAAATCAAAACAAAAAGTTTTTTTAAAAAAAAAAAGAGTTGAAAAACTTTTTAAAAAATTAAAAAAAAAAAAAGTTGAAAAGCTTTTGAAAAGAAAATATAAAAAATACTAAATTTACATTAAGATGTGAAAAACATGTTGGATTTGTGGAATCGCTAACGACCACGGTTAAATGGCGGGATCCAAAATCCGGTTAGTTTTCACAACGTCATGTTAATTTATTATTTTTAAAAACAAAAAAAAATGAAGTAAAAAATCAAAACAAAAAGTTTTTTTTTTAAAAGAATTGAAAAACTTTTGAAAAAAAACCAAAAAAAATACTAAATTTACATTAAGAAGTCAAAATCCGGTTAGATTTCACAACGTCATGTTAATTTAGTATTAATAAAAAAAAAAAAGAGTTGAAACAAAAAAAAAAAACCAAAAAAAAAGGTTAAACTTAACTGAAAAATGTTTCGGTATTAACGATCTCGGGCCTGACATTAATCAAAGGCCCAATAATCTTTATGAGAATATTGCTAGTTGAGGTACTGATTATTTATAGAATATTATGCCAACAGCTGATTCCTGCTACTATCGATGTGGGACCTTCTGGTTTTCTACATTAGGAGGAGGGACTATGTCGGTGCTGATCTTTTTATCTTAATGTTAGCCCAATAATAAAGCCCATACGATTTGAGTTTATCTGGATCGTTCCGAAACTTAACGCTATCTAAATTCTAACATTTTGTTATACCCAACTCTATCATGGCGAGGAAGCGAGGAAGCGAGGAAGCGAGTTCTCTCGAGCATCGCTGTCCCACGCAGCGTTTAACACCTGCAAAAAAATAAGTTTAGCTTTGAGGTTTTGGTGATTACTGATAAGCGCAGGCTTAAGAAACTGATATGCTGTGTTTTCTTTACTGCCAAGCTACTGCCTCAGGTTCTCCTAATGCTCCTGAGAAATCATCCGGACGGTTTAGAACTTGCACTTCTCCGGATACAAAACTTAGAGTGGCACCATGCTTCTTAAGTGTAGATGCAATTGCAGCATAGCGTCAAAACTGTTTGCTGAAATGCCTGAGAAGGACTTGATTTCATGGAACTCAATGATCGATGGATATGTAAAACACGGAAGAATCGAGGATGCTAAGGGTTTATTTGATGTGATGCCGAGAAGAGATGTGGTTACTTGTGCTACCATGATTGATGGGTATGCAAAGTTAGGTTTTGTTCATCAGGCTAAGACTCTGTTTGACCAAATGCCTCTTAGAGATGTTGTGGCATATAATTCTATGATGGCTGGTTATGTTCAAAACAAGTGTCACATGGAAGCTCTTGAAATATTTAACGACATGGAAAAGGAGAGTCACTTGTCACCCGATGAAACGACTTTGGTAATCATTCTTTCTGCAATTGCTCAGCTTGGCCGATTATCGAAAGCCACCGATATGCATTTGTATATTGTGGAGAAACAATTCTATCTAGGTGGAAAACTCGGCGTTGCTCTCATTGATATGTATTCGAAATGCGGAAGCATACAACACGCCATGTTGGTTTTCGAGGGAATCGAAAACAAAAGCATTGATCACTGGAATGCTATGATTGGTGGGCTAGCTGTTCATGGTCTTGGAGAATCCGCATTCAATATGCTCTTGCAGATCGAGAGACTCTCCATAATACCAGATGATATCACCTTTGTTGGAGTTTTAAATGCTTGTAGCCACTCTGGATTAGTGAAGGAAGGCCTTCTCTGCTTTGAGCTCATGAGGAGAAAACACAAGATAGAACCAAGGTTGCAACACTATGGGTGTATGGTCGACATACTATCGAGATCCGGTAGTATAGAGCTAGCCAAAAACTTAATAGAGGAAATGCCAATTGAGCCAAATGATGTCATATGGAGAACATTTCTCACCGCTTGTAGTCACCACAAGGAGTTTGAAACGGGAGAGCTTGTCGCGAAACACCTTATTTTGCAGGCTGGCTATAACCCGAGCTCATATGTGCTTCTCTCTAACATGTATGCTAGTTTTGGAATGTGGAAGGATGTTCGTAGAGTTAGAACGATGATGAAGGAAAGAAAGATAGAGAAAATTCCTGGATGTAGTTGGATTGAGCTCGATGGAAGAGTCCATGAGTTCTTTGTAGATAGCATTGAAGTTTCCAATACATTGTAGATAAAACGATTGTGCAGCGATATATTTTCAAGAGCTTTAACCTAATCTGCAATTCCTTGCCCATACATGAAGACAATGTCACAACATATTCACATGTTGGTTGGATGCAGCTAAGATATGTCTGAAAAAAACACTTCCCACAAGATCACCTAAAACTTCTGAAAAGTGATTGTTTTTACAGCCTAAGTACATCAGCTACAGTTACAAGGAGATAAGATTGTTACACTGAACCTAAAAACAGAGTTAACATCAGGGGAATGGTGATATTCTGAAACCTTGGTATGCCAATTCTTGGACATTAAAAGCAAGAATCTTGTTAAACGGAAACTAATAATTCGCTGCGAGTTTGTTCAGTTCTTGCATAACGTCTTCCATGGATGGTCTCTGGTTTGAGGATTCATGGGTGCAGAGAAGACCAAGTCTAGCGAGCTCAGCTCCTTCTGCTTCCGGGAAGTTCTTTCGAAGATTTGGATCCATGAAGTCTTCATTCAGTCTTCCTGACTCTACAGCTTGTAAGATCATCAAATGGCTGATTTTGCTTTTACCACTCAGTATCTGCAACAGAATCATACCAAAGGCATACACGTCGCTCTTATCAGTAAACCTCCCTGTAGTTATGTACTCAGGAGCTAAGTATCCCATTGCCGCACTTGCTTTGAGCTTCGAGAAAACGATGTCATCCGTGAAAAGCTTGTGAAGACCGGAATCCGCAAGAGAAGGATTATACCAATGATCAATGAGAATCTTCTCTGCAGATAGATTCTGGTGAACTATTGCAGGCTTGTTTCCATTTTCTCCATGTAGGTAAACAATCCCTGAAAGAAAGAAAAAAAAAAACAGACATCAGATTTTTACATACAAAAACCGAATTTGGTTTGCGAAAGAAGGAATCGCAGAATCCAACCTCTGGCGATGCCATTAATGATGGAAACTCGAGTTGTCCATTCGAGAACCTCTCCAGTCTCATCCTTCACATCAAGATACTGCAAAAGATTACCATTGGGGACAAACTCATAGATAAGGAAACATTCTCCACGTCCTTTTGAGCAGCAGAATCCTCTCAACCTCACTAAATTCTCATGCTTCAACAATGTCAGCGTCTTCAACCCTTTGAGAAACTCGGATTCATCGGATTTACAGCTCGATTTCGCTATACATTTTACAGCTGCAACAGAACCATCTCTAAGGATACCTTTATAAACCGAAGATACATTACTCTTCCCCAACAAGTTAACCTCAGAGAAGCTCTGAGTAGCTCTCTCAATCTCCTCAAGATTGAACATAAAGCTCTCAAAGACTTCTTGAGACAATGCACTGTTGTTGTTACTGCTCTGTCCTCGTCCTAACGGATCCCAACCACTTGCATACTCTAGGCTGATCAATGGAGAAGAGCTTTTTCTTCTAGAAACTTCTTTGAAGTTGTACTCAGTGCTAATCCTACCGTCCATTGCATCAAGACTGCTTCCAATCTTTTGTTTCCTTCGTCTGTACCATGTGAATGTTGAACCACCAAAGATTGCAACTGCGAGGATTGAACCCATAAGACCCATGACGATTCCTAAAGGTGAAGACTTTGAGGTTTTTGATGAACACACGCCATTATTGTTACTGCAATTGCTTCGTTGTAAATCTGCTGATTCTGGTTTCACGTCAACGGTTGTGAAATTCGTTGGGTTTGTTGGGTCTGGCCGGTTTAGGTTCGGACCGTTTAAACCGGTGCAAGCATTCAAATCCGTGAACCCATCTCCGCATAAACCGTGATTGTTTGAATACTGGAATCCATTGTTTAGCCTCTTCAAAGCTATAAAATCCAAAATAATCAGAAACAAGTAAGCAAAACATTAAGAATTGATACGGTTTTTGGATTGGTTTTCGGTTCGGTTTAACCGGAATGGTCAACTCTAATCATTCAGCAAATTGAAGAATTTATGAATCTGGAGGAAAAAGAAATAATTACCAGAGGGAACGAAGCCGGCAAAGGGTTATTACGAATGTCGAGAACTTCAAGCAAAGGAGCACCAGCGAGTTTCACCGGAACAGGACCAAAGAGGTTGTTGAAGCTCAAATCAAGCCTCGTTAACGTATTAATTTAGTATTTATAAAAAACTTAAATAAAATAAAACAAAATAAAAAAAAAGAAATAAAAGAGTTGAAAACTTTTGAAGAAAAAAAAAGTAAAAAATAAATGCTAAATTTACATTAAAATGTGAAAAACATGTTGGATTTGTGGAATAGCTAACGACCACGGTTAAATGACGGGATCCAAAATCCGGTTAGTTTTTACTACGTCATGTTAATTTAGTATTTTTTAAAAACTTCAAAAATGAAGAAAAAAATCATTTTTTTTTGAAAAAAAGAGTTGAAAAACTTTTGAAAAAAAAACATAAAAAATACTAAATTTACATTATGATGTGAAAAAACATGTTGGATTTGTGGAATCGCTAACGACCACGGTTAAATGGCGGGATCCGAAATCCGGTTAGTTTTCACAACGTCAATGTTAGTTTAGTATTTTTAAAAACTTAAAAAAATGAAGAAAAAAATCAAAACAAAAAGTTTTTTTAAAAAAAAAAAGAGTTGAAAAACTTTTTAAAAAATTAAAAAAAAAAAAAAGTTGAAAAGCTTTTGAAAAGAAAATATAAAAAATACTAAATTTACATTAAGATGTGAAAAACATGTTGGATTTGTGGAATCGCTAACGACCACGGTTAAATGGCGGGATCCAAAATCCGGTTAGTTTTCACAACGTCATGTTAATTTATTATTTTTAAAAACAAAAAAAAATGAAGTAAAAAATCAAAACAAAATGTTTTTTTTTTAAAAGAATTGAAAAACTTTTGAAAAAAAACCAAAAAAAATACTAAATTTACATTAAGAAGTGAACAACATGTTGGATTTGTGGAATCGCTAACGATCACGGTTAAATGACGGGATCCAAAATCCGGTTAGATTTCACAACGTCATGTTAATTTAGTATTAATAAAAAAAAAAAAGAGTTGAAACAAAAAAAAAAAACCAAAAAAAAAGGTTAAACTTAACTGAAAAATGTTTCGGTATTAACGATCTCGGGCCTGACATTAATCAAAGGCCCAATAATCTTTATGAGAATATTGCTAGTTGAGGTACTGATTATTTATAGAATATTATGCCAACAGCTGATTCCTGCTACTATCGATGTGGGACCTTCTGGTTTTCTACATTAGGAGGAGGGACTATGTCGGTGCTGATCTTTTTATCTTAATGTTAGCCCAATAATAAAGCCCATACGATTTGAGTTTATCTGGATCGTTCCGAAACTTGACGCTATCTAAATTCTAACATTTTGTTATACCCAACTCTATCATGGCGAGGAAGCGAGGAAGCGAGTTCTCTCGAGCAACCGATGTATCGCTGTCCCACGCAGCGTTTAACACCTGCAAAAAAATAAGTTTAGCTTTGAGGTTTTGGTGATTACTGATAAGCGCAGGCTTAAGAAACTGATATGCTGTGTTTTCTTTACTGCCAAGCTACTGCCTCAGGTTCTCCTAATGCTCCTGAGAAATCATCCGGACGGTTTAGAACTTGCACTTCTCCGGATACAAAACTTAGAGTGGCACCATGCTTCTTAAGTGTAGATGCAATTGCAGCATAGCGTCAAAACTGTTTGCTGAAATGCCTGAGAAGGACTTGATTTCATGGAACTCAATGATCGATGGATATGTAAAACACGGAAGAATCGAGGATGCTAAGGGTTTATTTGATGTGATGCCGAGAAGAGATGTGGTTACTTGTGCTACCATGATTGATGGGTATGCAAAGTTAGGTTTTGTTCATCAGGCTAAGACTCTGTTTGACCAAATGCCTCTTAGAGATGTTGTGGCATATAATTCTATGATGGCTGGTTATGTTCAAAACAAGTGTCACATGGAAGCTCTTGAAATATTTAACGACATGGAAAAGGAGAGTCACTTGTCACCCGATGAAACGACTTTGGTAATCATTCTTTCTGCAATTGCTCAGCTTGGCCGATTATCGAAAGCCACCGATATGCATTTGTATATTGTGGAGAAACAATTCTATCTAGGTGGAAAACTCGGCGTTGCTCTCATTGATATGTATTCGAAATGCGGAAGCATACAACACGCCATGTTGGTTTTCGAGGGAATCGAAAACAAAAGCATTGATCACTGGAATGCTATGATTGGTGGGCTAGCTGTTCATGGTCTTGGAGAATCCGCATTCAATATGCTCTTGCAGATCGAGAGACTCTCCATAATACCAGATGATATCACCTTTGTTGGAGTTTTAAATGCTTGTAGCCACTCTGGATTAGTGAAGGAAGGCCTTCTCTGCTTTGAGCTCATGAGGAGAAAACACAAGATAGAACCAAGGTTGCAACACTATGGGTGTATGGTCGACATACTATCGAGATCCGGTAGTATAGAGCTAGCCAAAAACTTAATAGAGGAAATGCCAATTGAGCCAAATGATGTCATATGGAGAACATTTCTCACCGCTTGTAGTCACCACAAGGAGTTTGAAACGGGAGAGCTTGTCGCGAAACACCTTATTTTGCAGGCTGGCTATAACCCGAGCTCATATGTGCTTCTCTCTAACATGTATGCTAGTTTTGGAATGTGGAAGGATGTTCGTAGAGTTAGAACGATGATGAAGGAAAGAAAGATAGAGAAAATTCCTGGATGTAGTTGGATTGAGCTCGATGGAAGAGTCCATGAGTTCTTTGTAGATAGCATTGAAGTTTCCAATACATTGTAGATAAAACGATTGTGCAGCGATATATTTTCAAGAGCTTTAACCTAATCTGCAATTCCTTGCCCATACATGAAGACAATGTCACAACATATTCACATGTTGGTTGGATGCAGCTAAGATATGTCTGAAAAAAACACTTCCCACAAGATCACCTAAAACTTCTGAAAAGTGATTGTTTTTACAGCCTAAGTACATCAGCTACAGTTACAAGGAGATAAGATTGTTACACTGAACCTAAAAACAGAGTTAACATCAGGGGAATGGTGATATTCTGAAACCTTGGTATGCCAATTCTTGGACATTAAAAGCAAGAATCTTGTTAAACGGAAACTAATAATTCGCTGCGAGTTTGTTCAGTTCTTGCATAACGTCTTCCATGGATGGTCTCTGGTTTGAGGATTCATGGGTGCAGAGAAGACCAAGTCTAGCGAGCTCAGCTGCTTCTGCTTCCGGGAAGTTCTTTCGAAGATTTGGATCCATGAAGTCTTCATTCAGTCTTCCTGACTCTACAGCTTGTAAGATCATCAAATGGCTGATTTTGCTTTTACCACTCAGTATCTGCAACAGAATCATACCAAAGGCATACACGTCGCTCTTATCAGTAAACCTCCCTGTAGTTATGTACTCAGGAGCTAAGTATCCCATTGCCGCACTTGCTTTGAGCTTCGAGAAAACGATGTCATCCGTGAAAAGCTTGTGAAGACCGGAATCCGCAAGAGAAGGATTATACCAATGATCAATGAGAATCTTCTCTGCAGATAGATTCTGGTGAACTATTGCAGGCTTGTTTCCATTTTCTCCATGTAGGTAAACAATCCCTGAAAGAAAGAAAAAAAAAAACAGACATCAGATTTTTACATACAAAAACCGAATTTGGTTTGCGAAAGAAGGAATCGCAGAATCCAACCTCTGGCGATGCCATTAATGATGGAAACTCGAGTTGTCCATTCGAGAACCTCTCCAGTCTCATCCTTCACATCAAGATACTGCAAAAGATTACCATTGGGGACAAACTCATAGATAAGGAAACATTCTCCACGTCCTTTTGAGCAGCAGAATCCTCTCAACCTCACTAAATTCTCATGCTTCAACAATGTCAGCGTCTTCAACCCTTTGAGAAACTCGGATTCATCGGATTTACAGCTCGATTTCGCTATACATTTTACAGCTGCAACAGAACCATCTCTAAGGATACCTTTATAAACCGAAGATACATTACTCTTCCCCAACAAGTTAACCTCAGAGAAGCTCTGAGTAGCTCTCTCAATCTCCTCAAGATTGAACATAAAGCTCTCAAAGACTTCTTGAGACAATGCACTGTTGTTGTTACTGCTCTGTCCTCGTCCTAACGGATCCCAACCACTTGCATACTCTAGGCTGATCAATGGAGAAGAGCTTTTTCTTCTAGAAACTTCTTTGAAGTTGTACTCAGTGCTAATCCTACCGTCCATTGCATCAAGACTGCTTCCAATCTTTTGTTTCCTTCGTCTGTACCATGTGAATGTTGAACCACCAAAGATTGCAACTGCGAGGATTGAACCCATAAGACCCATGACGATTCCTAAAGGTGAAGACTTTGAGGTTTTTGATGAACACCCGCCATTGTTGTTACTGCAATTGCTTCGTTGTAAATCTGCTGATTCTGGTTTCACGTCAACGGTTGTGAAATTCGTTGGGTTTGTTGGGTCTGGCCGGTTTAGGTTCGGACCGTTTAAACCGGTGCAAGCATTCAAATCCGTGAACCCATCTCCGCATAAACCGTGATTGTTTGAATACTGGAATCCATTGTTTAGCCTCTTCAAAGCTATAAAATCCAAAATAATTAGAAACAAGTAAGCAAAACATTAAGAATTGATACGGTTTAAGTTCTCCTCGACCTGGTTTTTGGATTGGTTTTCGGTTCGGTTTAACCGGATTGGTCAACTCAGCAATTTGAAGAATTTATAAATCTTGAGGAAAAAGAAATAATTACCAGAGGGAACGAAGCCAGAGAAAGAGTTATTACGAATGTCGAGAACTTCAAGCAAAGGAGCACCGGCGAGTTTCACAGGCACAGGACCAAAGAGATTGTTGAAGCTCAAATCAAGTCTCGTTAACGTACTTATATCACCTAAACTCGCCGGAATGGCGCCGGAGAGTTGGTTATACTGTAGAGCCAAGACAGTTATCTTCTGAAGAGAACCTAACTGTGTCGGTATACTTCCACTTAACTTGTTGTAACATAACTGTATAACTGCAAAAAAAAGCGCACAAAAAAAGTGGTTATGAATAGATGCAATTATTTTTGTTGAGTTTTACATTTTAGTTTCAAAACCCCAAATAAAATTGTTTTTGGGTTTTGCATAAAAAAGAGTGAAAGATGAAGGGGACAATAGAGAGTATCATATCCCTAGTTTCTAGGAGACTCAAAAATCTAAAAACTTGAATGGATGAAAGCAAAATTCTAAAATCCACACCATTCAAGACCTAAACTCTTTTTAGCTAGTTTTAATAAACCAAATTTGACCCACTTAGGGTCTTTTAGCTGCAATAAATGAATTATAGTGAGTGAGGTTTATGAAGAACACATGCATAAATAGACCGACCTTGAAGATTGTCTAAGTTTCCGATTTGAGGAGGGATTTCGCCGGAAAGATTGTTGACATTGAGGTATAAATCGGTGAGGAGAGGCAGGTTTGATATATCTTTAGGAATATGACCGGTCAAGGAGTTGAAGTGAAGGTATAAACCGGTTAAGCTAGTGAGAAGACCGATTGAAGGAGGGATAGTTCCGGTGAGACCCATTCCTTGAAGAGAGATGTTAGCAACACGGCGGTTTCCGTCGCAAGCGACACCGTCGAAGGAGCCTGAGGAGCAAGGGTCGGCGTCGGGAGTCCATGAAGTAAGGAAACGTTTTTCAGGGTCGAGAGAGGATTTGATATCGAGGAGAATGTCAAGCTCCGATGAGGAGGAAGACAGTGAAGGAGAAAGGAAGAAGAAGAAGAAGAGGATGAGAAAGAGTGAGAGTGGAGAGGCCATGTTTGGTTGGAGAGAAGAGAGAGAGAGATGAGGAAGAAAATGACTTTCTCTCTTGTGGTTTTGAAGCAAAAATTTTGTCCATTCTATTTATAAAATAGTAGTTCTTGGTTGTTAATACTAAAAAAAGCTTAAACCACAAAAGTATTGATATCGTAAACATAATAAAAAAAAAAGTTAGTTCAGCTATGAAAATGTAAAATGATAACATAGACAACTATATTGACCATAACGCTAATTCTTTATAGATAATAATATATATATTTTTTATAATATATTTAAGACATTCATTTTTTTTTGGTAGGCATATATTTAAGACATTCATAGTAGCTAACTATAATTGTTATTGGTCTTATGATAAAATTTAAAACCACTAGACTACCATGAGTTGATAAAACAACAAAATAAAACATGTTATCACTTTTTAATTACACATATTACTGGTCAAAATCAACATTGAAAATTTTAAATTTCTGGGTGTGATTGGTAAGAGGTATAAGAATTTTTTCTAGCTAAAACATTATTAAGAACTGCACTTAGTTATATTGCGTTACTAACATTTTTTAACTACAATATTTTGATTGTTTGTTCATGTTACATCAAATATTTTACATTTAGATTCCTAATCTATCAGACCTAATAATATATTTTAACATTTTTTTGTTGATTGTTTTTGACTGATTAGTAAATATAAGCTTATTTGGAATTGAAGGGAAACAAAAGAGGAGTCATGAAAATTGAAAATATTAAAGTCCACGAGTTCATTTCATTTTCTGTACTTTATACGGTAAGATTACTTTTAAAGACTTTTCAGAGGAAAACAATAATAGTTAGGCGAATCTTAGCTTTTTTTTTTCAAAATTGAAAAGGATACTACAATTCTCTCTTGATTTAATGGTAAGAAAAGTTGTTTCTTTTTCAGTGCACCAGCTATAAAATCGTACTACTATTTTATATCATTGTTTTCATATATCCATTAAAGTTTATGTTAAAAAAAACCCATTAAAGTTATTGCTACCATTAGTTCTAAACAAAAAAATGTTGGATATGCTTTCTTATAAATTTCTATTAATAAGCGAATTCATCAATTGTTAATGACTACATTTACTGAAAAACATCAACATTTTGAGGTTGGGATTTCAGTTAGAAAAAGCCTATACTCTATTTAACTAAATTAAACCTCGAGTTTATCCAATCATCATCAATAAATACCCTTAGATATGACATGTACAATAACCTGATAACCAGCTTTATATGTTCACATGGAGAATAAGGTACAAAGATAAATGGGATTTTCTTGATATTATTCCATTAGATTACTATATTTGATTCAAATAATTGTTCCATGAATAAAACAGGGAGTAGCTTCTATTTTATATTATATAATAACAAAATAAAAAGGTAAAAAGGCATCCAAGAGGCATGGGGCTAAGAGTACATCAAATGGGACAAAGAAGATGATGGAGGCAAGTCAATAGAAGCAACATGTGAACATTTTTTTTAACACAATTAATAAACAAATTTAAGTAAAAAAATTCAAAACATGTGAACTTCTCTCGAGTTAATGTTTTTGCTATCTTCTATATCTGATCATAGCAAAAGGTAAAATGGACCAACACCTTGCTCTCCTCTAAGTGTAACATGTGAATTTACAGAAACAAGAAAGACATAAAGCAAGAGAATAAAGCAAAAGGCTATAACATGTAATTTTCTTACTTCGTGGGTAGTGGTGGATGATATTTATATGTAGGTGGTGGATGATATTTATATGTAGGTGGTGGATGATAGATGTGTGTGTATTTCATTATCTATATATAGAATGGAATCATTGATTGAGCGCGAGAATGAGACTTATCAAAAATAATGTGTCTAACTGTCTATGATAACTTAATTAGTGCAATCAAATCTCTATATGATGATAACATAGTAGTGTTGATTAGACAATATTTGAGTTCCTAAGTTGATTGAATGTGATTTACTTTATTTTTAAAACTCACTTGAAGCAAATAGTTTATGTCCAATTAGCCGACATA